CGCTCCTCACGGGCTGCGCCCTGGTGCTGCTGCTCGAGCGGGCGCCGCGGCAGGCCCTGCCAGGGGGCCGGGCCACGAGCGGCGTGGGCTGCCACCCTCCCCTCGAGCGCCGAGGCTTCGGCGCCGAGGTCCTCCTCCTCGACCAAGCGCTGCGCCGTGCTGCCGACAGGGAGCAGTGTCACTGCCCAGCCGCCGGACTGGGGGTGGGAGTAAGTCGGGCCTGTCCCTCTACAGGAGGAACATTCCAAAATAGTGAAAAAAAAAGTCTGGGGAGCTGCAGAAGGAGGGCGTGCGCGCGTCTCCTCTGGTCGACTAGTAGTCGGATTGGCCCTTCGCCAGAGTCCCCGATCGCCGAGCGCAATGCGAGAGTAGCGTCTTGGCGCTCGTGTCTGTTTGGTCCCCCCGCGGCCCCCAAAAGCCGCGCACCATAGGTCTCTCTTACCCAGGGTCGCTCTTGCGTGTAGCCGATGCGGGAATAGCACCCAGGCCGATGCTCGTGGATTTGGCTCTTGGTCGCGCAGGGGAAGAGCAGCATTCGCAGGGACATGGAGCAGTGTAGCCCAGGCTGTTGCGCGGGCCCAAGATCAGGGACACCATGGTGTGCAAGTCGCGAGCCATGCTCAAGAATAAGCCGGTGTCGTCGCAGGGCTCCGAGCACGAAGGAGCCTTCGATAATAGTGATCCCATGACATGAAGACGCGGGCAATCCCGTTGCCGCAGGTCCCGAGCGGCAGTAGAATCATCGCCCCACCCTTGGCGTCGCCTCCGCCGACATGCCCAGCCTGCCCGCCGCGTTGACGACACCTGCCCGGTCAATTATTTGTCACAGATGGTTTCTCTTGTTCGTTTCTGCTGATATGCGGGGGCAAGATTTGCCTGCCTGCGGCGGCGCCGGCAGCAAGCGGCACCAGAGTCTTGCAGGTCGGATCTTCGTGGCCGTTCTCCATTCTCCTCCCTCCCGAAAAGCTTCTCTTCACCGGTGGCGGCAGGAACGAGTTGGATAAGAAAAACACGCTGAGAGGAGGAAACGAGAGACACGGAGCGTCTGGGCCTGTCCCTGTGCGACACGATGCTGGTGAAGGTGGTAGTTGTTCTTCGGGTCCCGTCGTTCGTGCCAGACGCGACGGCACGGAGTCTCGGTGTGTTGTGCTGTTTCTAGTGGACGGGCTTCCGATTCTCATGAAAAAGCAACACACGCCCATACCCAGATGGGGGCTGGGAGGAGGAGGACTGCCAATGGGTATGCGTGCGGCTGTCGGACCCCAAGGGAGGCTCCCGTTCGAGCGGGGCCCCCCATCCGACAACACGCACCCATAGCCCTCCCCGTCTCCCCTATGGGTATGTGTGTATATTGTTCGTTCGCCAGGTGGTGGGTGATGGAGGCCTCCCCTGCTTCGTGCTGGCAGGGGTCGTGCGTATGTGCTGTTGGAGCTGGACTTCAGACTTTCGGGGTGTGAGCATGACGCATCGGTTCCCGTGCCAGTTTTAGTAGGTAAGTCGGACATGTCCTACAGGAGGAACCTTCAAAAATAATCAACAAATCGACAGGTGACGATTTTGAACTATTTGTGATTTTTGTTGGGGGAAGTTGGGGGTGACTTCTTTTCCGCCCAAAATCCGCCTGTTGGGGAACATGCCCGACCTAACAGTAGGTGGGTGTAGTTCTTAAACGTCCCTCGGGCGTTGCGCCGATACTGGCGCAGATAGAGAGATCGCGCTGAGGCAGATCGACTGGGGCCGTCTCGACCAAATGGTAAAACAGGAGATCTTGATGCAGCTGGTTCTCGAAGACGAACAAAAAACGCCATAAACATAAGCTTTGGGCGCTCCGCGCGGATTTCTTGGATCCACGCTGGGCCCCACCCCGGCGGCGCCTCCGGCGCCGCCCCTGGCGCGCGGAGTGCCAAATCCAAGAAATCCGCACGCAGCGCCAAAAGTTGTTGTTTATGTTTTCGTTGTTTCTTCTAGTTGTTCGTCAGTTGATTTCGAGAACTTCGGCCTCTTCGTCGCCTTCCCAGGGGTGCTGGTCTGAAGTTCGCCCGGCGCTGCCTCGTGGACTTGTTCGTCCTTGTCGGCTCGTCGGGTGTGCTGGTCTTCGCCTCCATGACTGGCCCAGGATTCAGATGTGTCGTCTTTGACCTCCTCCTCCTCCTCCTCCTCCTCTCGGGCCGGACGAAAGGGGGGAATGGGAAAGGGGGGGTTACGAAATTTGCTGCATGCAGCTGGTTTCGGCCCCGCCGAGGGGTCCATTCCTCGACACATGGCCGCCTCCCGGCGCCGGGAGGCGCCGGGAAAATCAGCCACGCGAGCTGATTCTCAAACCCCACCTTTGCTATCCCCCCCCCCTTTCGCCCGACACGACCCTAGAGGGGGATTCCGGGCAAAAAATGCAAAACATACCCCAAACATATGCACCAAACGTGCTCAAACATAGTCAAACAATAGCCCCCTGGCATTTTTTTATTATTTCTGCATCTTCCCCTGTAGAGGGACAGACCCCCCCTTTGCTATAGCCCCCCCTTTCGCCCGACGCGGTCCTCCGCGGATGGCGCGCCCTGGAGCTGCCGTGCAGGACGGAGTCGTTCGGGCCCCAGGACACAGAAATAAATACACACAAATAAAGATATTCCCTACATTTTCCTATATTTTCTTGGGTTTTGTCTTCCCCCCCTCACTTCCCATATGTTCCCATCTTTTCTGGGGTGTTGTCTCCCCCCCCACTGCCCATATTTTCTTATATTTTCAGGGGACCGACGACTCATTTCGGACGACCTGGTAATTTTTTATTATTTCTGCACCTTCCCCCTGTAGAGGGACAGACCCCCCCTTTGCTATAGCCCCCCCTTTCGCCCGACGCGGTCCTCCGCGGATGGCGCGCCCTGGAGCTGCAGTGCAGCACGGAGTCGTCCGGGCCCCAGGACACACAGAAATAAATACACACAAATAGAACGATGCCCCCAAATTTCCCCATTTTTTCGGGGCTTCTGTCTTCCCCCCCCCCTCATTTCCCATAGGCTCCCCTCTTTTCTGGGGTCTTGCCTGGCCCCCCCACTGCCCATACGTCAGGTTCGCGTCGTGTCGACCGTCGGCGACCCCGCCCGCGGCGTTTAACGTTGAACGCCGGCGGCGACCCAGAATCGGTCGATGTTGAACGATTGGACGTTGCGGCAGCGGCCGATCGTGTAAGGTTGAACGATCCACGCGGTGTCAGAAACCAACGCCAGGGTCGTCACGACGCGAACCTCCCGTATTTTCCGACATTTTCGGGGGAACCGACGACTCCTTGTGTCTCTTCTGGGCTTCTGTCTTCCCCTCCCTCACTTCCCCATCTCTCTGGTCCCCCCCCCCCCTCACTTCCCATATGCTCCCCTCTGTTCTGGGGTCTTGCCTGGCCCCCCCACTGCCCATATTTTTTCTTACACCTTCGGGGGAACCGACGACTCCTTGTGTCTCCGTGTGCTTCTCTTTCCCTCCGAGGCAGCCTGCCTCCCCGCCCGCCCCCCTGCGGGCGGTTGGCTCTCTTGGCGCGTCGCGCCGCGGGCTCTGGGTTTCCGCCGCGCTCCCGCGCGAAACGCGCGGTCGCCACCTCCTTTGCCGCAAAGTGGTCGGGCCTGGCCCGCTACAGGAGGCAGAGTTCCACGAGAGTCAACACATAGGGGACTGGCCCTCTACAGGAGGAAGAGTTCAAACAAGAGTCAACAACATAGCCCGGGGACTATTTTTGGAGTATCTGTGGGCATTTTGTGTTTGGTATATTTTTGGGGTATTTTTTATTTTATGTTTGGAAGAGTTCAACAAGAGTCAACACATAGCCCGGGGACTATTTTTGGAGTCTTTGTGGGCATTTGTTTGTTTGGTATATGTTGGGGTATTTTTTTATGTCTTATGCGCCTTCCAAAACCACGCTGCAGGGGGGCACGCCCGACGGAATCCCAGCCCCGGGCGTGCGCGCGCCGAGCCCTCCCCGGGCCGCCTGCTCCGCGGAGCGGGCGACGCCGGCGCGCCCTCTGCTCGCAGGGCAGGGCGCACCGCCGGGGCCGCCGCCGCGACGCGCGGAGCCGACAGGCCTGACCTGGCTCCCCCTCCTCCCCCTCCTCCCCCTCCTCCTCCTCCTCCTCCTCCTCCTCCTCCTCCTCCTCCTCCTCCTCCTCCTCCTCCTCCTCCGTCCTCCTCCTCCTCCTCCTCCTCCTTTTCCTCCTCCCCCTCCTCCTCCTCCTCCTCCTCCTCCTCCTCCTCCTCCTCATCCCCCCCCTCCTTACTCCTCTCCCCTCCTCCTCCTCCTCCCTCCTCCTCTCTCCTCCTCCTCCTCCTCCTCCTCCTCCTCCTCCCTCCTCCCTCCTCCCTCCTCCTCCTCCTCCTCCTCCTCCTCCTCCTCCTCCTCCTCCTCCTCTTCCCCCCCTCCCCTTCTGCCGTCCCCGCCCTTCCCTCCCCCCTCTCGGGCGGGGCCAGGGCGAGGACGAGTGGAGGCGGATGGGACGCATGAGGAGGAGGAGGCGGAAGAGGGGGCGGCAGAGAAGGCCAGAGGAAGGGCACTCCAGATTTCGTAAGAAAGGGAGGGGGGTCTCATTTCGGGGGGCTGTGGACGATGTTTTTGAGGGTTCTCCCGCGGGGGAGGTCTGACATGGCCTGTCTTGGAGGGTCCAGACCCCCTCCCTTTTATTACGAAATCTGGAGTATTGAAGGTGGGAGGTGTGAGGCGGAAGGGAAGGAGGTCGGACGGACGGGACTAGGACGAGGATGAGTCCATTCAAGAGCGTTCCGGAACGCTCTGAGAAGGCCGCGGCGCCCGAGACCTCCTCCAGAGCCGCCGGATCTCAGAGATTCTCGGTCTGTCTTCACCCGATTCCGTCCCCGTCCTGGTTTCCCCTTGCTTCCTTTGCCCCTCTCCCGCCCTCCGCGGCATTCCTCCTGCTCGAGCCCCCCCGCGCAGATCGGCCACCCTTGCTCGGCCCTCCGGCTTGCCGCGCTCCTCGGAGGCCCGACGGTGAACCGGCGTACATATGGGCGCCGCTCCCGAGGGGGTGGGAGGGGGTCCCCCCCCCACCCCTCGGGCATGCGCGCCGAGGGGGGCCGGGTCGCGGGTGGACGCCGAGGCGTTCCGCTCGCACATGGAGACGTGGATGGAGCGGGTGGAGGTCAAGGTTTTGCAGCGTGCCGAGGGCGGGCGGCAGTTGCCGTCGAGTCTTGCATGGCCCTCCGCAGGGGGAGTATCCACGACGGGGCGAGAGATGTCCAGGGGCCGATGTTTCGACGAGTGTTGATTATTGATGTGCACGGCTAGATGATTCTCATGTTCCAGGACCCGCCTGGCGGAGGACATGCCCGACCTGATGGCAATGGGAGGAGGGAGGGGGGAGGGCGGGAGGGGAGGGGGGGGAGGGACAGGAGGGAGGGGGGGGGAAGGAACAGGAGGGAGGAGGGAGAAGGGAGGAGGAGGAGGAGGCAGGAGGGAGGAGGGAACGACGACGACGACGACGACGACGACGACGACGACGACGACGACGACGACGACGACGACGACGGTGACCCAACGGCCCCTGCTGTGGCTCCCAGAAGGGGCCACAGAGGGGCGTATAAGGGGAGGCCGAGGCTCCAGGGCTCAGAGACGGAGATGCGGCATGGCACAAGCTTCTGCTGGCGGCCCGCGTGGAGGACGCTCCGCGCGCCAGGGAGGGTGATGGGCCTGCTCCCCACCGCCACTGCCACCAGAAGTTGGAGGGGGATGGGGTCCTCCTTCTCCTCCTGGCCCTCCCCCTCCCTCCCCCCTCCCACTTGTGGTGGTAGTTTTCAGGTCTTATGGGGGTGGTGGAAAACAGGCCCATCAGAGGCGTCTTCCGCTCAGATCCGAGAGATCTCAACGCGGACCGGCAGAGGCTCCCGTGCCTGCCGTGGCTCCGCTCCTCTGCCCCGGGGCCTCCGAGAGGGAGGAGAGGCGAGGCCACCGCCGCCACCAGGGGGGCCGCGTCCAGGGAGGGGGCCACCGATGCCCTGAACGGGCCGGGGATGGGGGATGTCTCGAGTGGGAGGGGTCCTGGCATCGCTCGGACGTGTGCATTTTCCCTTCGGCGAGGGCCATCGAGGAGCATCCTTGATGGTTCGGCGAAAAAGCCACGCACGAAACCGAACAAAAACACAGGGAATGGACGTCCGAGCGATGGCGAGGGGTGGGGTGGGGCTACATCACCAGGAGTGCCCGCCATGCCCGCTCGCGCTGGTGCTGGTTTGTTAGGGGAAGAACGACCCATGGCATGACATGCTTATTCGGAGGTCCGCCCGGATTTCTCGGATCGGCGCATGGGCTCCCTGGCGGCGCCTCCGGCGCCGCCCCTAGCGCGCTCCGCGCGCCAGGGCGGGGGGTCCAACGCGGATCCAAGCCATCCGCGCGGACTTCCGAGTGTTTATAGTCGAGTTTGATTAGTAGGTCGAGCCTGCCAAAAGCAAGGACACCCCTGTGTCTTGTACTTCGCGACCCATGCCTTCTTCTACATTCCTATGGCAATGCGGCCTTCGGAGGGGTCTTATGTCCTCTCGCGTGTCCTCTCCAATCAAGCTCGACTGTATGTCTATGTCATTTTTCGTTTCCCTAGTCGTGGTCCGGGGGAAGGTAAGACTCGAGCAAGCCAGAACTCGGGTTTGCCGACTTTCTTTGATGAGCGCGTCCTGGAGCCTGACGGTCCCGTTTTCGTGGGATGTCTGCAGCGGAAGCCCGCGTCAGATTCCAGATTGGGCCTCGCCATTTTTATGGTGGCCCCCGTCAGGCCAACCCGAGTCCCCCGTACCCGAGTCTCAGTGCCGCCTTCCCTTGTTCCCGGAGAGTGGGGGGGAGGGGTGGGAGGAGGAGGAGGAGGAGGAGGAGGAGGAGGAGGAGGAGGAGGAGGAGGAGGAGGAGGAGGAGGAGCCCCCACCCCGCCAAGGTCGACGGGCTCACGGAGGTGCTCGGCAGGCAGCGCGGGCCGTCCCTTCCCCTCACGGCAGAGGGCTGGGGCCCAGGGCTGAGTCGGGCATGTCCCTCTGCAGGCTGAGTCGGGCCTGGTCCCTCTACAGGGGTCACAGTCTACAGGGGGAATGTTCGAGAGTAGTTAGAACATAGGATGTGGGCATTCGTTTGGCTACGCTTTTTGCCATGTTGTGGATATTTTCGGGCGTAGCCCGAATTTGTTGCTCGCGAGGCAAACTGACGGAGCTGAACTGATCTGACCAGAACTGAACTGAACGAATTGAACTGGACAAACGGTCGCACCTGTTACGCGACGGTTTATTCTAGGCCGCCGAGGGCACAACCCATGTTGCAACCGATTGGAGACGGTTTTATTCTCGGCCGCCGAGGGCGCAACATTTGGCGCAACCCAGGGGACACGGTTCGATTCTCGGAGGCCGAGGGCGCAACCCATGGCGCAACCGATAGGAGACGGTTTCATTCTCGGCCGTCGAGATTCCGTAGCCATTTTGGCTCAAGACCATGCCTCCCCCCGAGGAGGACACGGATACCGCTAGTCCGCGGCTCGCCCTCAGTCTTTCTGCTGGCGCCACTGCGCTCAGCAAACTCACCCTACTGTGTCTGCTGACCGTACTCGCCTGGGAGCTGACGCCATGGCGGAGTATTGGAAGTGCAGCTGCCTTGAGTTCAATACCAAGGGCCGACGGACTAGCAACAACTGTGGAGATGCCAAGCCACCGCCTCGTCCATGGAACGGCGTGCCGAAAGGAACCGATTTCTGGATGCTGCGCAAGGGGCAGCAAGGAGGATGGACGCCTTGGACTAAGCAGGGAGGCGCACCGCAGGCACAGCGACAGCAGCAGCTTGCCGCAGGAGCGACCCTGTCCCCCAGCGGCGTCAAGGAGTGGTCCGAGCTTCCAGCAGACATCTACGAGAAGACGAAAGGCGCCCTGTCCCACTCGTCCAGGCTGAAGGTCGAGTACGCCAGGCGGGCTGCTGCTGCTGCGCTGCTTGGCGCTGCTGGCCGAGAGGCTCCTCAGGCCGTCGACAAAGCCGCCAGGGCCCTCCAGAATGCGAAGGACCGCTTGGCTAGCAACAAGGACAAGGCTCTCAAGCTGCTGGGGGCGGTGTCAACCTCAGAGGCCGAGGTGGTTCAGTTGCAGAAGGAGCTCGCGTCTGCGAAGCGGGATGCGGCGAAGCTGTATGGTGCATGCGCACCAGCAGCTGGAGCGTTCACGGCGCAGCAGCTCAACGCCAAACTCGGAGAGATCCCCACGGAGGGCATCTCGCTGGCCGACTTCCTCAAGTCCCTCCAGGCTGCGGTCGACGAGCTCCGCAGCGCCTGCAGGCCGACCGAGCCGCAGCAGCACGAGGCTCATGCAGCTCAAGAGCCAGTCCCCCCTGAAGGAGCAGCAGCTGGAGGTGAAGCGGCCGCTGCTGAGGGCGGCCCTGCGCAAGGGACTTCGCCCGACGAGGCGTTCGAGGCTCTCATGGCTGGCGATGATCCTGGCGGCCTGTTGGGTTCTTGTCAGGGCGAGGGAGAGCGCGAGCGGCTTGCCGAGGCAATGGAGACCATCCGCACTGCCAAGCGTTCCAAGACGGCAGGCTGGTAGCTCTACCCAGAGGCGGTGGTGGACAGCGCTCACCATCAACGCCAATGCCTACAGCAGGTTCGAGGCGCTGCTCGACGAGAACCAGGTACGCAACGCAGACATGATTGCGGTGCAGGGGACCCACCTCTCCGACTTTCGGTGCGCAGAGGTGACCGACAAGCTCAAGAAGCAGGGCTGGCATGCCCTCGCGTGCCCCGCAGTGGGCACGGGCCCAGGCCTTCACGGCCGCGGAGGGCTGCTGCAGCTGGCGCCGAGCGCGCACGGCCTCGGCGCATTCGAGATGAAGAGCGGGTTTGTGCTCTTCCCTGGGAGGGCGTGCGTCGCCTGGTTCAACGTCTACCTCGAGGACAGCGAGGGCATGTCCGACTTCAATTACCAGGTGCTGCAGGCCGTCTACCGCGCGGCGAAGCAGATTGCCAAGCCCATCATCATTGGTGGCGACTTCAACCTGGAGCCGCAGGAGTTGGCGGCGTCAGGGTTTCAGCTCAAGGTGGTCGCCCCCGTCGAAGGCACCTGCCGACCTGGGGGGCGCATCATCGACTACTGGGCCATCAGCGCGACCTTCGGCGTAGCAGAGGCCAAGGTGCTGCGCGACAAGAACCTGGCGCCGCACTTCCCCGCCCAGCTGAGGGTTGACGGCAGCACCTTCGCCAGGAAGATGCAGATCATGGGGACCCCCAAGCGCCTGCCCTGCCCGCTGCCCGCCGCGCGCTGCAGCAGGGACCACTCAGCTCACTGGGGGGCCACGCGACAGGCCACGCAGGCCACGAGCTCGCTGTCCTCGCGCTGGCAGCTGTTCGTCTACCAGGCCGAGTGGAACATCATCGACGCCGTGGGCTTGGCACATGAGCACGACGACTACGCAGGCCGCGGCGCCAGGCCCCGCCTCGAGATGGCCAAGTTTGCGGTGCCCAGCCCGCCGCGCATTCCCAAGTGTTCCAAGGCCGCCTCCTGGCACAAGAAGGTGGCGATAGCGATCAAGGATTGCGCGCAGGTCGACTTTCCCGTCCGTCGGCTTCGGGCGTTGCGGGCCCTCAGCAAGATGACGGGCGACGACTTGGTTCAGACCACCGACCAGCTCAAGCTAAATGCGATCGCCATCTTCCCAACGTTGGCGGGGGCCACGCCTTCCCTGGACACTGGCACGCTGCAGGGCATCGCTGCCTACGTCAACGAGGCTGCCGGGGAGCTGGTCCAGAAGCAGGCCGACACGAGGCAGGCGAGCTACAACGACTGGGTGATCGACCACCACACTAGAGGCACGGGGGCCCTCCACGCCCTCGCCGGACCTCCGCAAGGCTGGGCTCCTCGCCCTACGGGAGCGCCCCCCGATGGCTGTCCTCCCACCCTCCAGGAGACGGTCACTGCCTTGATGAAGAAATGGTCTGGGTATTGGGGCCTGGGGGGCCCCAGCTCCCCCTGCGCCAGGCCCGCGTCAACTGGCCCGGCGAGCTCGGCGAGAGGCCGCCCAGGCCCACTGTCGAGGATGTCAGGAAGGTTATCGCCAGCTTCAAGGAGGCCACGGGTGCGTCCTTCGACTCGCTCAGGCCCAGGGAGTTGCAGCTAATGGGCGACGAAGGCATCGAGGCCCTGATCGACCTGTTCGACGTCATAGAGCAGAGGTGCGAGTGGTCCGACTTCGTCACCAAGATGGCCTTCATCCCCAAGGCGGACGGAGGGCTGCGCCCCATCGCGCCGCTGGGGGCCATCGCGCGTATCCACTGAAGGTTGCGAAGGCCTGTCGCGAAGCAGTGGGAACGAGAGCACGACATGCCATACTGGTGGGCCAGCGCGGGCAAGAGCTGTGACCGCGCCGCGCGGCAGCAGCAGGCCAGGGCCGAGTGGGTCCACATGATGGGCGCGCTCTACGAACAGCATGACTGGGCCTCGGCGCCGACCCTTCTCGACCTCTGGAAGGCCTTCGAGCAGATACTGCACAGCCAGCTCCTGGAGGCCTGCCAGGCCCACAACTTCCCGCTCTGGCTGACCAAGCTGCATATTAACCTGTACAGGGTGCCCCGAGTGGTCTGCCTGGAAGGCTGTTGCTCGGACGAGCTGATGGCGATGCAAGCGGTGCTGGCAGGCGATGCGTTCGCCACGACTTTCGTGAAGGTGATGCTCCTCACGCCGTTGGATGCGATGGTGACCAAGCACCACGCGGTGGTTCCCGCAGTGGTCGTGGACGACCTGGTGATGCAGCGCTGGGGCGGCACTAGCAAAGTTGAGAAGGACCTGATCGCCAGCCCCAGCTCCTGGTCAAGGAGCTCAGCAAGGTGAAGCTCAAGGTCGCTACGAAGAAGTCCAGGATCCTCGCCAGCTGCGCCAAGCTGAGGAAGGGACTCCATGCCAAGCTCATCAAGGCATGCGGTGCTGTCGCAGTGGCGAGCGTGCGCAACCTTGGAGTAGACCACGCTGAAGGAGGGCGGCGTGTCAGCGCGGCGCGTAGGCTGCGCATGGCCAACGCCAAGGCGAGGCTCCCTCGCATCAAGCGACTGCTGGGGCTACGGCGAGGCCGAGCAGCCGCGGCTACGGTCGCCTTCACAGGCCTCATGCCCAGCATAATGTACGGCGCCTCGTGCACTGGGGTGTCGGACAGCGAGCTCAAGCACGCCAGGGCGCTGGTCGTCAAGGCAATCGAGGCAAGGCCGCACAGCCAGTCCATAACTGGCTGCCTCGTCTTCGGCGGGCCGAGCGAGATCGACCCGATGTGCGACGCTACCTCGGCGCCTGCCTGCACCCTTGCACGCGCGCTCTGGGAAGGCTGGGTTCCCGCAGGAGTCCTCAAGTCAACCTTCGACGGCTTAGCGAGGCACGTTCGCAGCTGGAGTGGGGTCCGGGGGCTTATATCTGCGGCAGTCTTGTCGCCCAGGCGCGTCGGCTACGACGTGCGCAGCTTCGACCAGTGGCGCAGGCGCAGCACCTGCGAGACCATCGACATCACGAGCTCTCCCCACTGGTACATCAATCAGGTTCTGCGCAAGGACGTGCAGGCCTGGCAGCTACGACAGTTAGCGGCGGACACGCACGAGGGCATCACCTACGGCGCCTTCGTCCCACAGGTGCGCAGGTGGCTCAGCACAGGCAAAGCCTCCACCTCCGAGGGCCGCAGGTGGAAGCCCCTGGACGACAAGCAGAGGGGCTACGTGAGGTCTCTGCTGGTGCACGGCCAGTGGCTCAACCAGCGGAGGTTTGAGGCAGCGCCGACGCTCGCCCCTACACCACACTGCGAGCTACACCCGCACTCCCTGGGCACCCTGTGGCACCGACACCTGGAGCGCTGCGAGAGCTGGCCCAGCTTCGAGCTGCCCGAGGAGCTGGGGAAGTTCAAGCAGTTCGAGTCCGGCATCACGATCAAGACGCTGTTCGGGCGGCTCCTGCTGCCCGAGCCCAGCCACGGCTGGCGCCCCCCGCAGGGCGACCTGCTGCAGGGGCTGAGGTGGCTCAAAGGGGATGACGACCCTTTCATCAACACCGAGCCGTTCGCCGACGGCTCTTCGCTGGCTATGGCAGGATGTGCAGTAGTCGAGATGCCTCCCGGGCCAGAAGGAGAAGACCCAGGCAAGGGATCGTGTGTCAAGGCCATGGGCGCCCCTATGACTGGGCCAATCCAGCCAATCGACGGCGCGGAGCTGCTCGCGCTCTACGCGATCCTCAGGCACCCGCTCTCTCCCATCGGCCATCTTCGACGCCGAGTACGTGGTCAAAGGCTTTTTGGAGAGAGTGCGTGAGGCCACTACCTCGCATAAGTCCGCCTGGGGAGAGATCTGGCGCAGAATTTGGCGCGCGCTGGACGTCTTCGGCGACCTCCACAGCGACGGCCTCACGGTGCGGAAGGTCAAGGACCACGCGACGTTCAAGGACGTGGACGAGGACAAGATCACTCTCCGCAGTCGGCGAGGCAACCACGAAGCTGACCGAGCGGCGAAGTTTGTCGCGGAGCACTTCAGGGCGCCGCTGCAGACGCGCGAGGCCAGGATAACAAGGGCGCTCACCTTGGACGGTGCGATCTTCTGGGCATCGCAGGCAGGCGCCGAAGCTGCTGACCTCAGGATCGACTTTCGCGACAAGTAAAGGGAGCCCGAGTCCAAGGGCCCCAGGCTCTACATCACCAAGCACGAGCTGGTCAAGATCAAGAGGGGAGCAGAGGGCGCCCAGGCGCTCCACTGCTTGCGCTGCCTGCGGTCGGCCTTCACTGACATCTCGACCAAGAACCTCCCAAGGCAGAGCTGCACGCCAAAGGCCTTCGCTCCCGACGCCTACACCAGCGGTGGCAAGAAGCGGCCGCGCGCCTCGGCCCTGGTGCACGCTGGCGCCGCCGCGGTGGCGGTCGCAGCAGCCCGCCGCTTCGTGGAGGACGAGGGCCAGCCCACCCTTGCCAGCGGTGGGGCATGCAGCAGTGAGGCGAGCTCCCCCTTCGTTCAGCATCGCGGCGAAAGCCAGATTCTGGGATCCGTCGGTGACGGCGGCGTGCGTGCTGGCAAGGGCGGTCAGCATCGTGGCGAGAGCCACATTCTGGGATCCGTCGGTGACGGTGACCTGCGTGCTGACGAGGAGCAGCCGTCGGCGGGCTCCTCTTCCTTTCAGCATCGTGGCGCGAGCGAGATTCTGGGATCCGTCGGCGACGGTGACCTGCGTGCTGACGAGGAGCCGCCGACGGCAGGCGACGGGGGCGCCAAGGCCCAGCCTGCTGCGCCGCCGCCCAGCGGCTCTGGCGCGCTCGACGTGGACGGGGGCGGCCACGACCCGCGCACGTTCTACGGGCACCGCGTCTGCCTGAAGTGCTTCCAGTACGCAAAGGAGGTAAAAGGGCAAACACAGGGGGCTCGGCCTGGCCTGTGCCCCAGCGCTCAAGCCCAGCGCCCAGGCGGAGCGCAGGAGAAAGGCCGAGAAGATCATGAGGGGAGTGGCTCCGACTGGGAGGCCACTAGCGTGACGGCGTCGCGGCGGGCTCCACTTCCACTGAGCTGCCGCCCGCGACGCAGCTGCGTCGCCGCCGCTCTGCCCTGTCGAGTTGCCGCCGTTTGCGGCGACTCCAGAGGCGGCCAACAGGGCCGCCGTGCGGCCCGCGACGCAGGAGCTGGACGTGCGCGCTGCGCGCACTCCGGCTGCGGAGGGCAAATTCACGGCCGCCGAGAGCGTAACCTGTGGCGCAACCAATTCGGGAGACGGTTTTATTCTCGGCCGCCGATGGCGCGCAACCGATAGGAGACGGATTTATTCTCAGCCGCCGAGGGCACAACCTATGGTGCAACCGATAGGAGACGGTTTTATCGTCCGCCGCCGAGGGCGCAACAAATGGCGCAACCCAAGGGGGGCGGCTTTGTTCTCGGCCGCCGAGGGCGCAACCTATGGCGCAACCGACAGGAGACGGCTCGATTCTCGGATGCCGTGGGCGCAATGTATGGCGTAACCCATGGGAGACGGTTGTATTCGCGGCCACCGAGGGCGCACCCTATGGCGCAACCCATGGGAGACGGTTTTATTCTCGGCCGCCGAGGGCGCAACTTGTGGCGCAACGGATAGGAGACGGATTTATCTCGGCCGCCGAGGGCGCAACCTATGGCGCAACCCAAAGGGAGACTGGTTTTATTCTCGGCCGCCGAGGGCGCAACCCATGGCGCAACCGATAGGAGACGGTTTCATTCTCGGCCGCCGAGAGCGTAACTTGTGGCGCAACCAATACGGGAGACTGTTTTATTCTCCGCCGCCGAGGGCGCGCAACCGATAGGAACCTTATTTATTCTCAGCCGCCGAGGGCACAACTTATGGTACAACCGGTAGGAAACGGTTTTATCCTCCGTCGCTGAGGGCGGAACATTTGGCGCAACCCAATGGGGACGGGTTTGTTCTCGGCCGCCGAGGGCGCAACCTATGGCGCAACCCAATGGGGACGGCTTTGTTCTCGGCCGCCGAGGGCGCAACCTATGGCGCAACCCGAGGGAGACGGTTCAATTTTCGGAGGCCGAGGGCGCAATGTATGGCGTAACCTATGGGAGACGTTTTCGTTCTCGGCCGCCGAGAGCGTAACCTATGGCGCAACCGATAAGAAACGTTTTTTTTCCTCAGCCGCCGAGGGCGCAACCTATGGCGCAACCGACAGGAAACGGTTTTATTTTCGGCCGCCGAGAGCGCAAGTTCTGGCGAAGCCGATCAGAGATGGTTTTGTTCTCGGCCGCCGAGGGCGCAACTTATGGCGCAACCGATAAGAGACGGTTTGTTTCTCGGCCGCCGAGGTGCCAGGAGGAGGAGGATGAGCAGGAGGAGGAAGAGGAGAAACGAGGGGACGAGGTCCTAGTCGAGGACGATGAGGGGAAGCTGGAGCAGGAGGACAACGAGGAGGATGAGGAGGACGACGAGGAGGAGGAGGAGGAGGAGGAGGAGGAGGAGGAGGACGACGACGACCAGGATGGGGAGGAGGACGGGGAGGAATACGATCAGTACAAGGACGAAGTGTGGGCATTCGAATGCGTGCGGGGCCACGCCCTATTTATGCTTGCCGTTTGGGCTGGCGGCGGGGCCCAAGCGGCGAGCTGTCTTGTGTGTTTGATTATCTTTTAGTTTTTCGTTCAAAAACCGCCTGTCGGAGCACATGCCCGACCTATACCCAGGGCCTGTGCCGAGGTGAGGTCGGAGGATCGCGCGACGCGTCGCTCGGGGGTCGGCGGTTTGGCGCGACCCAGGGCCCGACCAGATCCTAGATGGTGGTTTTGGTTTTGCCAATTGTGGTTTTGCCTTCGATGTCGGCCTCTGCTGCAGTGATCCCTGCGACTTGCAGAAGCTGCAAGGTGGTTGCAGCCCACTCGACATGCACTCGTGGGTTGCATGTCCGCCCAGCTGCTCCAAGTTGGTCCCGCGGCTTACTCATACTTAGAGCAGTCATGCGACTTGCGACCCACTTGCATGCGCCTTGCACGTGGGTTGCAACCACCCTGCAATTGCTCCACCTGTCGCAAGGTGGGGCCCGTTTTCGGGCCTCTGGACGATCAACATTGCATCCAGTCGACACAAGGAGACATACAGAGACCAGGTCAAACCACATGGGTTGGCCCGTAAACGTGCGAGGCTACAGCGAAGTGACATGAACGAGCACGCGCGCAACGGAGAGCAATCGTTGTGCCTCCGATGGGGGAGGGGGGGAGATGGGGAGAACGGGGGCGGTCCGCACGCGTGAATGCAATACTCGACGAACGCTTCTTCATCATGTCCATGTACAGTGTCATGCCAGCGAGATGCAGTATGCAAATCATCTCGGGCGAATCCTTGCAGGCGATCATCACAGCTCGTCGGAGGGCGTCCGCGCGCCCTCGTAGCCCAATGCGTGTAGCGCGGGCGCGGATTAAGCAAGCACGCATCGGCGACTGTCATGGAGCCATTCCGACGTCTCCGAGGCATCGCCGATGCGGCACGGTCTTCCGACCCTACTAGCTCCGATGCGGCACGGTCCTCCTCCTTGTCCTCCTCCTCCTCCTTCTCCTCCTCCCTCCTCATCCTCCTCCTCCTCCTCCTTCCGCAGGCGGCGGGTGTTACTGGACGGGGCGGACAGCTGCGTCGAAGGGCCGTCACCGATCCTCTCGCTCCAGCGGAGCTTCGAGCGCCAGATCTCGAGCCCGTTCCAGAAGCAGCAGTCGGCGGGGACCGAGATCTCGAGCCCGTTGCAGAAGCAGCAGTCGGCGGGGACCGAGATCTCGAGCCCGTTCCAGACAGAGCAGTCGGCGGTGGCCGACAAGGAGGAGGCCGAGCCTGGTGGTAAGCGACATGGCATCGTGGACAGCGAGACAGAGGACGGCGCCATCAGTCACAGGACCACCACTTCTGAGAGCCCCGCTGCTGGGGACATCAGTATGCCGACGATGGAAGTGGGGGCGCGATCAACCAGCAGGGAGTCAAGGGAACGGGAGCTCACAAAGCGCCTGGAGTTGGAGCTGCGCGTCAGTCGGCAGGGTCCTTTGGGTAGGTTCGTTCAATCGCAACGGTTCGACAGCATGGTCATTGCCCTAATCGTGTTGAACGCCGCGGTGCTTGGGGTGGATGTGCAGCTTCGGGCGTTCTCAAACACGAATCTCGAGTGGATCAGTTACGTGGAATTGATCTGCACGTCGGCCTTCACAGTCGAGCTCTTCCTGCGGGTTTCGGTGCACCGCGTCAATTTTTTCACCGATAGTCGCGAACGCATCTGGAACATTTACGACTTCTTCTTGATAGCCGCCTCCTGGGTCGATTTCTTCATCCAGAGCATCATGTCGGACTCAAGCGCGTTCTTAGTCAAGGCTGGGAGGGTCATCCGTATGTTCCGCATCGTACGCGTCGTTCGTACAGTGAGATTTCTCTCGCAGCTTCGGGTGATGCTGCAGATGATTCCCATCGCTTCGCGGAGTGCACGTCCCGAATGTGAAGACTAGGTGCGTTGGGGCTGGCCTGGTCGCCTTTTAGAGGCCTCTTGGGGCCTCTTGAGGGCTTGTTGGGGGCCTGCTGGGGCCTCTTGGAAGCGTCTTGCCCCATCTTAGAGCGCCTTCAGAGGCCGTCCTGGGCGCCTCTCTGGGCCGTCTTGAGTCTTGGGGCCCTCTTTGAGCCCTCAAAGGCTGTCTCACGGTGTCTCTTGAGCCATTTCGGAGCTGTCTTGTGAGCCCTGAGGCCACCTTGGAGCCGTTTGGGCCCTCTTGGGAGCTTTTTGGGCCATCATGCGGCCATCTCAGAGGCCTCCGGGACTGCTGTCTTGGGGTGTCCGAAGTCCGAGAAGGAGAGAACGCTAACATCAGTAAACCAACTAACGCGAACTGTGTTTTTTGTCTTTGGAGGCGGGGCAGGTACCTTCGGGCTGCCCGGCGAAGCGCCCTGGCAGGTAGCTTTGGGTTGCCCAGGAAAGCGTCGTGGCAGGCGCTTTTGGGCTGCCAAGGGAAGTGCGCTGGAAAGTATTCTCAGGCGCCACAGGGAAACGTTCTGGCTGGTACCTTCGGGGGCCTCCGTGCGGAGTAACATAACCATACCGACGCCCTCACGGACTAGATTTCGGGACGCGATCCCGTGGATACGCGTTCGCATGACAATTTTCCGCGTGTGGCATGCGCGAACGCACGGGCAGAAGCCATGGGGTCGTTCACAGGGGTCCAGCCTGCGAGGGGCCGTGGATGTGCATACGTTTCCCGTCTGCAAGAGTGTGTCAGGGGAGTGGCGGGCATTTCACAGGCCTGATCCCCAGTGGGGTCCGCGAGTTATGGGCACGCTGCAGTCGCTCTTCTGGGTGGGGCTCATCCTGTTCGCTATGCTGTACTGTGTGTCCATCATCCTGACGCAGGGCGCTATTGACTACCTGAATCCCCCCGGCGGGCAGGTGCCGTCCGATCACGAGGCCGTGAGCTCAATGTACGGCTCACTGTTTCAGACCATGTACACCCTGTTCCAGTGCATATCGGGAGGCGTCAACTGGGGGCAGGCCTCTTATTTGATGCGCGGTCCTGGCGCTGCCATGGAGTGCATCGTGGTTGCCTTCGTGTTCTTCGCAATATTTGCGGTGGTCAACATCAAAGTGCGCTGCCGTGCATATCCGCCACCGAGCTTGGGGAAGTTGAACAGCAACGAAGCGTGGCACCGAGGTGGCGTTGCATGACACCTCTTGGAGGCTTCTTGGATGCCTTTGAGGTGTCTTGAGGCGGCATGAGGAGTATCGGGGCTGTCTAGGTGGGTCTTGCAGCCTTTTGGGGGGCTCTCGGGTCGTCTGGGTGTGTGTGTGTGTGTGTGTGTGTGTGCGTGCGTGCGTGCGTGCGTGCGTGTGTCTGTCCGTGTGCATCCTCGCTGGCAGTCTTGGATCAGGTTTGGGCCGTTTCGCGGTTGTCTTGAGCTGGACTTGAGCCGCATTGGAGCCGTGGTTGGCCCGTTTTGGGTGACTTGGTGGGGATCTCGGGCCGCTGGGATGTGAATTGAAGTGGTTTATGAGTTCGAATCATTACGTGGCCACCTTGGGGAACTGTATAATGTCTTCGAGCTGGGTCTCTTGTCCGAAGATAACGGCACTTCGCGGCACTTAGCGGCACGAACGTTTTGCGGCCCCGATGGGGCCAGCGGTCTCACTCGCGCGCCCGCGGTTTCACGGAGGTCGGCGACCCCGAGCCTTGATCTAAATTCCCGTGGCCCATTTGGACGCGGCCACCGCGCGCCACGAAATGGTTTTTTCTCGGAACCACGAACGGCCACTAAGTGCCACTAAATGGTAATTTTCGGAACCGGCAATTGCCACGAAGTGCGTCTAAATGGTAGATGTCGGGCTGCTAAGTTCCGCTAAATGGCATTTTAATTCTCGGAGCCACAGACGGCCACTAAGTGCCACTAAATGGTAATTCTCGGAGCCACTAGCGGCCACGGATTGCCACTAAATGGTACTTCTCGGAGCCAGTAACGACCGCTAAGTGCCACTAAGTGCCACTTAACGACCGCTACAGGCCGCCACGGCCACTAAGTGCCACTGAATGGTAATTCTCGGCGGTCGCGATGGTCAGTCCGAAGTTCCCCAGAGAACCCACATAAGAAACAGCCACGTTCAGAGGAGGCTAGGCCGAGGGGGTAAACTTCTTAGAAGCAACCTGCTTCTTAGAAGGCTCGGGCCTTGTACATACACATATCTATATATGTATATATCTGTACATGTCTATGTATACATACATACATGCATGTCTATACATACATACATGCACCCCATCAGCAACGGTTTTGTCTCTCCGCGATTTATCTATGCGGTGGCGGATTATCAACGATGCAGTACCTCTCCTCGTCGAGGTTGATGGGACGGCCCCCGCCGTAGCGGAGTTCTGCGAACGCGTCACGGAGGTGACCCAGCAGAACGAGATGTTGCCCGACCTACCCTCGGAGGCTGCTGCTGTTGTGGCGGCGCCGAGGGCGACTGAGGTGCACCAGTTGACCGAGATTGAGGTTGACGTTTGAATAACTGATTCAGAGTCAAACCCGATACTAGCGGGAGGACTAGTGGTATGGATTCGCAGTGGCGTCGGGGGAACGACAAGGCGATGATGCAGACCCAATTGGCTCTCTTGGAGGAGCGGTTGCGGGACTTGGCAAGCCAGGCCCGTGGGGGCAATCGTGCACGACCCAGAGAGAATCCACAGCGGCGTACTCGTGGTAGTGTCCCTGAGAAGACTGATAGACGTCGGGATCCTCGTCTGTTGTTTCGTCTCAAGCGTCTCATTCGCCAGGCGGATGAGCAGGATCAGCCTCCGACCCACAAGGCTATGATCGCAATTTTGGAGTACCTGCTCGAGGACTGCTCGCCCAAGAGCAAGAAGACTGACCAGAACGCCGCGACCAATGGCACGGGGAAAAGTGCTACCACGTCTCCCAATACTTTTAAGCTGCTACATCACCCATGGGAATCATCACCGGTGTGGCAGGCAACACACATTAAGGACAAGGACTACGGCCTTCAGGCGCTGCCAGTGATTGACTGCAAGGGTCGGGAGGAATACGACAGCGTGAAGGAGTGGTTCGGTGCCAGGGGACACCCGACCGCGACGGCCACGTTCGTGCTCTTCGATGCAGTTACCAAGTTGGACGGCTGGGAGAACGTCGACGTCGCGGTTGAGGCCAAAGGCGGGGGCGCCACATTGGTCCCAGCTCAAAAAGTATGTACGGGCTTGACGGCCCCCCAGGAGACAGGGTTACCAACAGGAGTGAAGGATGACGTGGAGGTGGCAGCTCCCACGGACAAGCCGACCGCGGTGAAAATTACGGTTGCTCGCGACTTTGCACCATATTGGCTCTACGCTGAAGCAGAAGAGAATCCAGTTGCTTCGCCAGCACTCATCCTGAGCGCGGCCCTCATCAAGAAAGTCTTGAAGACCAACGGGGCGGTAGCGTACGAGACGGAGGCCGCAGCCATCCTCATCGTGCAGGCTGACCACATCGACGACATCTTGGGGAACCCTCTACCCGACGGTGTGTTTCTCAATCGCCAGGGGGCTTCCCTGGTGCCTGCGCGGCATCGGCTCAGAGACGACGAGCCGCCCATGGACAATTACAAGAGTGTGCAAGTTGTTGCGCTGGCGGCGCCAGGGCGGCTCGTGCACCGACCCTCGGACAACAGCTCTCTCTGGGCGATGTCAGCAACATGTTGTGACATTTAACGTATAACCTCGATGGCTTCTCCAACGTACTCCGACTTTTTGGTCTTAAGAGGAGGAGGTGAAGACTTGGGCAGTCGACCGCGGCTTCAGCAATGTGGACAGCACCGCGCGATGTCGCGCGAGGCGCTGGTTTATTCGAGCAGAGCAGATCTCGCGCAGTTGGGAAGTGGCAGAGTTTTAGTGTTCAAATCAGGGGCGGTGGCCTGCCTGGCGGCGCCGCGGCGCGGGAGCTCCAGGCTGGCGCCGACGAAGTCACCGAAGACGGCTTGGGGCACCCCGAGCCTTGCGAGACCTCCGCCTGAAGCGCCAGCAGGGGCCCCTCCCTCACAGGAGGCCGATCGAGACGCCGACGGCGACGCAGCGATGACGAACGGGGAGGGCGGCAACGGTGAAGGCGGAGAGCCTCGACAGCAGGGGGCTCGACAGACTGCGCCAGCTGCGGCCCCATTGGGGGGGGGGGGGGGGGTCATTTCAAGCAGCGCGAAAGCGGAGGCAAAGGTGGTTGCTTTTATGTCTCGGCTGAGTTCTATTTCAATTCGCCCCAGCCGTCGGCAGGCAGGGCTGGAAAGAAGGTGCCGACGAAGGCTGACCTCGGCCCAGGTGGCAAGGTCCAGGCGGCATTTCGCGCGAAGGTGGCCGCAGAGATGCTCGAGCAGAAGTTGCCGCAGAAGGTGGCCGAGGAGCAGAAAGCAAGGCGCGGGGTGGGCACTGTCTACGGCGCCAGCCGCGGTCAAGACGAACCACAAGTGCTGGATGACCTTGGTGGACAAACATGTTCAGCTCTTGGTTGGAACGGTACCTGCCCCTCCTGAATTCGAGGCTGACTGGGGGAAGGGCGCCATGCCATGCCCCCATCACTTCGCCAGTGGGGGAAAGACCTCGCAGAAGAAGGCTGGGCAAGTTTTCCGAACATATGGATGAATTACAAGCGAGATGGGGCCCTCTTGAAGGACGACGGCGCCAATCCACCGACTCCAGCAGTATCTAACAAGTCTTCGCCTTCGAGTTCGTTATCTACTGACGCGGCTATGGCTATTTCTGATGCGCCGACGCCGTCACTGTCCCCGATATCGACGCGACGGGCACAGAGTACGCTTGGAATTGCTGAGCCCAAGACGGGGGCCCTCTCGTCCAGGCGAGTACGCAGCGTATTGAATCCCAGCCCGATGCCGACCCCCTTGCCGACATTGGCCGATTCTCACAAGCACTGGCATTGCCCTTGCGGCGAGTGGACCCCCGACCCATTTCTGACGATCCAGCAGATATGGGGCGAGGTCAAGAAGCACTGGCGGGTTTGCCAGGGGGGAGACCCATCCGAGGAGCCAGCTGCAGTTCGACGGCGCCGACTTTGCAAGGGGGGACTGAGCGCCGCGGCCATGAACAAGGCCAAGCGCAACAAGGCATGGGCGCTCTTTCAGGAATGGAGGGCCGAACGTGCACCGACGCAGCTCGTGGTCACTTGCGACCATGGAGAGGGCTCGGCCAAGAGCGTGCAGCACAAGCGGATGATGATCACGCAGTACGTCTGCAGCATGTGTGGCAAGCAGCTCTGTCTTTCTAAGTTGCGCATCTAGCCTTGCGAGCGGCGCCCAAGGGGCGTGACCTTCCAGATGGGCCTGGCCAGACTCGGGGGGGAGAGGTTGCCAAGAAGCGAGTCGCCGACTCCGCGAAGAGGGCGATGCAGCACTGGCAGAAAGCCTCCAAGGCCCCAGGCTGCTACGCCGACTATTGCAATCGTTACGGTCGGAAGCAGTGCGACCGCAAGGAAAAGCTACGTCGTGAGGCCAAGAGTCTGCCGGCGGTGCTCCAGCGAGCGCCGGTTTGCAAGAGGCCCGCGGCCCGCGCCCCCTCGACCTCGTCGCGGCGGAATCCGCTCATGTGTGGAGGCCGCTCCTCACAGGGGCCGACGCCAGCAAGCAAGAGTAAACAAATTAGAGGCTCACGTAAGCAAGCCTCGGCCCCGAGCTCGGCGGCGCCGCAGAGTTCCTCTGCCTCTGCGGTTGCGGCTTCGTGACCGCGCCCATCCGACCTGCCGAGCTCGCCGCCGCCCGAGAAAGCACGACACAATTTAATGACTCTTTTTGCAGATCTGAGTTCAAACGCTGCATGTGCAGCTGACACTGTTCATGTACACCAAGCTCCTGATGCAGATTCTGCGCGCCCTTCGAGTTCGTCACCGAAGGCTAGACGTACTCGTACTTCTCGGGCTTCAGCGTCTACCGGTTCAACCTTGTCAACGCCCGCGCCTACCTGTGCAGCTTCGGCCTCAGGTACTGCAGCTACTGGTTCACCCCTGTCACTGCCCACGCCTGCCTGCGCAGCCTCGGCCGCAGGTTCCTTGGCGTTAGAACGCGCTTTGGAGTTAGAACGCACTGGCAAGGGATCCGCACCTGGGCCCCCCTTTGTCTGCCCCCGAACTCATGGCGCACAGAGCGCAAGTCCTGTTTGCGACGGCCTTGCGCCTGCGTCGCCATCCCCGGCTCAGTCGCCACATGCTGGACAGCCACGTGCTGGACGAAGTTTAAGTCCTGATCTCGGGTGCTCCTCGAGCCCGAGTCAGTCGCAGCCGCCGCATGCTGGACCTCAGGCGAAGCGACAGAAGCAGGAGGAGTTAGAACGCACTGGCAAGGGATCAGTTTCTGGGCCCCCCTCTGCCAGCTCCCGAATTCATGGCGCACAGAGCGCAAGTCCTGGCTGCAACAGCCTCGCTCCTACGTCGCCTCCCGGGGCTCTGTCGCCACGTGCTGCACAGCCACGTGCTGGAAGAAGCGTGAATCCTCATCATGGGTGCTCCTCGAGCCCGAGTCAGGCACAGTCGCCGAGTGCTGGACCGCAGGCGAAGGGACCGGCGCAGGAGGAAGAGGTCGAGTTTGCTGATATGCTCGACACTGGCGCTCCAGATTCAGATTCCACCAAGCTCAAAGTTCGCACCGTCAATGTCACGAGCCTTACCAAGGCCAGGCGGATCACCATCCTGGAGGCTCTGCCTGTATCCACCGCGAGGATGTTACGCCTACAGGAGATACGTCACCGCGAACTTCTCGACCACGCAGGATGTTTCAAAACGCTCTGAGGTTCGGGTGGAGCATTGCCTGCTCAGACCCACCACCGACACGGGCTCGTGGGGCAGTTCGACAGGGAGGATGTGCTATAATTTGGCGCCGCTCTCTGGGGGGAAGGAGCAGCTCCAGAGCAGACTACGACGCATTTGCTACCAGGCATTCCTCATCATGCTCTAGTGGGGTAGGTGTTTAACATCACGCATGTCAGCCCAGTGCCTGCCCGTCTGAAGCGCACAGGCTCTTATATACCAGAGCGCGCCTCCAACGACGGGGAGAAAGCTTTACTTCGAGAACTACTTGATCAAGAGGTGGGCCCGCCCCGCTAAATGAACGACGCCACCGGCCCACCTTTGGTAGAGCGCTGGCACTACTGGCGCAGGAGGGCGGAGAAGGCAATGCTTCTAGCTGTTGAACGAGGGGTGCCCGCAGTTGAATGCGAAGCGGAACGCGATGAAGGTTCGCAACCAACCTCGCGCTCGACCTTCAATTCGCTGGCTCGCAGACCCAACGAGACCATCGCACTGCGTCGCCTTCTTCGTCTGCATCGGCGGCCCGCAGAGCACTTGCGCCAAGGCGCTCCAGGTGCCGCTACGCTGGTGCCGAAACGCTGCACTCAGTTGGCTGCTGCGGCTTTCGACGGTCTGTTTCAGGTCACGACAGTTGGCATGCCCACATGATCGGACGTGCTGGACTGGCTCTCGCAGGGGGTCTTCGTCGAACAGGCCCAGATGCAGAAGAGGACCTCCGCACAGTGGCGACGGCGTTTGGCGAGCTGGAGCAACGAAGTGCGGAAAGTGGCTACCCCCCTCTTCAAGGGTGGCCAACCAGCGCCAGCCAATGCAGCAGCAGATATGCGCGAGCAGTGGGCTAAGCGTTGAAAGCCAGAGAACTACGACATCAGTGGCTACGTGGCCGCCTGGAGGCAGCATGCCTCTGCCGTGGCCTTCCCGAAGCCCACCTGCCCTCAGGACTGAGTGCCGTCGCTCGGAACCTTCGTGCGCGCAGTCCGTCAAGCTAAAGGATGCCCTGTACTGGGCGGCTGGACGAGTCGTGAGTTGATGGCGTGGGAAAAGATCCACCCCACTGTTATCGAGGAGCTGCGCGAGCTGTGGGTGGCAACGTCTCAGGAGGCAGTTGACTTGCGTGGACGCTGCCTCAGGCAGTGATGCGCGCTATATTCCCTTGGCGCGTGGCTGGCATACCAAAGAACGAGGAGGCCGCCCGACCTATCTCGGTCGGATCCGTGCTGATGCGCGCTTGGCTCCGGGCGCCGTCAACTGCGTCGCCCACCCCCTCCCCCCACCAGACCTGCAGTGGGCAAATCGCCGACGCGCGTCGGCGGTGCGCGCAGTGACCAAGTGGCTGAAATATTGCTCGGAAGGGCAATGCGGCGCAGAGATGAACCCCTCGGCGGCGTTCGACCAGGTGGGCCGCGATCTTGCCTTAGAAGCGGCTGACCACTCAGCCATGCCTTACGCAGTAATGTACACATGCTATGCCGCGTGGAAGGGCCCACGGGCATGCTCTATCCAGGGTGAGCTCGCTCCACCTCTGGGCCCGCGCAGAAGCTTGCCACAGGGTGGCAGCAGGGCTCCGTGCACGCTCATATCAACGCTTGTGCCATGGGCACCGACGTCTCAAGCCCATGCGTTCATGGACGACAGAAGCTTGTTTGCTCAGAACATCGATGACCTCGGCGCTGACCTTTTGATGATCCAACAGCTTGACACGACCACCCGCGACTGCGAGAACCAGAGTAAGAGACAGCGGTGGAGCATGTACGACCCTGTCCCTACTCGCGTGGAACACCTCGGAATACTGGCGGCGCCGACAGACCACGCCGCCCCCATACTTCCGATGGGGCGGTTGGCAGAAGTTGGAGACTGCGATTTCGGTGCCAGGGGCCATTCCTGGCCGCCATCAGGTACGCCTCCGTCTGGCGTGCGCGCACGTGAGGCCCTGGTGGGCATGGGCTCTGCCCGTTGCGACGCCGCCACCGCGACGTTTCGCCGGGCTGCTGCGCCGCTCGTTGTGGAGGACGAGCTCGAGCTGGTGGTGTCTTGGTCGCTACTGGGCGCAAAATATTCTATTGCGCCCAGAGCACTCTGCTGCGATTCTGGGTTTTCAGAAGCTGATAGACGAGCGGCGAGCGCCTCGTTTGAAGTGATTTCTTGGACACGACGCTCTCTGCGCACGCTCGGGCATTGGGCCCCCTCTTTATCCGATGCTCGCCCAGCCAGGGAGCAGTGCCACAAGCCGGCTCGCGCGACGATTTCAGGATCAGAGATGCGGTGGAGACGATCGTGGGTGACAACTGGCAGTTCTCTACCAATAGTGAGGCTGCGCCGCACGCCCTGAGAAGTATTGTGCGCATCCGCTGTCTCCAGCAAGTGGTGCGCTCACGTCGTGTCGCGGAGGAGGTCGACGATGTGGACGTCAACGCGTCCTCTAGCAAGATCTACATGCAATGGTTCAGTTCCCTGGGCGACGAGGATCGCACACTGCTGGCGGTCTGCAGATCGGGGCGGTGACTTCAGAGACACGTAGACGCACAAGAGCACCTTGTAAGCATTATTTTCGTCACGTCTTTGCCGGGTGTCCACGCCATGTCGGACATCGACGGCAGCTTGAAGACCGCTACGTATTACCCTCGTCTTTCTGGACCAGTGTGCCGCGTGTGACGAGCAAGAGTGGCTGGATTACGCTTTCAAAACACAATATTGCAGCAGTACGTGCGATGATGCTGACGGCGAGCTGTGCTCTCGGATTCAGTATTCTTCAAAATGGAACAGGAACGTATGATCACCGAGGCAACGCCCACCCCAAGGGTAAGGCGACCACTTGCATTGCAGGCGTAATACATGCTCAAGTATGATAGTATCCCTTAAGTGACAGGATATGTTATTCCAACTTTTCTCTTTGAGGTGGCGGATTGTAAATGGCGTCTTCGTCGACGGCGCGATTCAGCTCGCCAAGCAGGACCGGATGCTTTTCGTGGAGAAGCAGAAGCGCGAGGATCGGGCCAGGGAGTCCCAACTCCTGCACCTGCTGAACGCCATCGACGACAATCACGACAACATCATAACCTTCCAGGAATTCTGCGACTGCCTGGAGCGGCAAGATATCATCGATTATTTTTCTGCGTTGCACGTCGACATCGAAGACGCCAAACAGTTTTTCCCGCTGTTGGACGAGGACGGCTGCGGGCAGGTAGATCTCATCCAGTTCGTGACGGGGATGGAGAAATTGCGGGGGGAGGCCAGGAGCGCAGACATCCACATCGTGCTGCACCAGAACAGGAAGGTCATGACGATGCTGAACAAACTCATGAAGCTTCTCGGCGGCCAGGGAGACGTGACGTGCTAGGGCGTGCCATCGGGTGGCGGCGCTGGCGACCGCTCCCCCTTGGATGCGACGGGGGCCCGGCGGGGCCATGCCGTTGAAAGAGGAGGCCGGGGAAGGGGCGGAGGAAGGCGGAGGAAGGGCAGGCCAGGCGCGACCCGGCTTCCCGCGCTTTTCTCCTTCTCCTCCTCCTCCTCCTCCTCCTCCTCCTCCTCCTCCTCCTCCTCCTCCTCCTCCTCCTCCTCCTCCTCCTCCTCCTCCTCCTCCTCCTCCCCTTCTCCTCCCCCTCCTCCGGCGTGGACGGCCTCGTCTGACCGCTCGAGGCGTGCAGTGATTCTACGTCTCCCAGATGGGGTCCGGGTTGATGGGTTGATGGGGTCGGAGGATCGCGCCGTATCGTCGATGCATCAGCGATGCGGTTCGCTGTGGAGCCCGATTTCCACCACGATGGCGTCGCCGATGCATTGCCGATGTCGCAGATGCATCCCCGATGCATCGCCGATCCATCGGCGATGCGGCGCGATCCACGGACCCCATCTGCTCCGACCCCATCTGGGAGGCCTCCAACCACGGCGTGGACGGCCTCGCCTGGCCGCTCGAGGCGTGAGGTGAGTGGGGGCCCGCGCGGGCCCGAGCCTCGCGGGGCCTGCGGCGCCAACTCCGCGCCGCACGCCGCAGGCTCGGAGATCGCGCCGCATCACTGACGCATCGGCCCTGCGGCTCGATGCGCCGATGCATCGCCGATGCAACGCCGAGGCGCCTCCGATGCGGGGCAATCCCCGACCCCATCCATTCGGACCCCCACCTGGAAGGCCACTGTCTCGGAGGAGGAGAAGGTACCCATACCTTTCCCCTTGGCTCTTGGGAGGCCCTCGTCGCCACCGCTGGATTCGCCTCGAAATCCTGGGAGCAGCGATAGAGGGACCTGGGAGCAGCGATATCGGTACCTTCTGGTTTCCCTATATTCGGAACCCATTTGGAAGTCCTCTATCGGCGCTTATGTCATTCGGCGTGCTTTTTTTTTCCTGTAGGCGCACACATGTCACGGCGTCGTGTGCGTGTGCGCGCGCTCTGAGTTTTCGACCACGGCAGTGCAGCACGGCAGTACAGCCGGTCCCATCTCGGAGAACACTGGTGCGAGCTACGGAGTTCACTCCTCAAACTGGCCTGTACATGGGCTCTGTCTGCTGTGTTGTACCTCTGTCTTGCTCTTTTCCATCTGACGCCCAAGCCCATGGCCGCTGCTCTCGCGATCTGCACATGTGTGTTTGCGGATCGGAGTGGCGTGGCCTTCCCGCGCCAACTCCGGCGTGTACAGTTCTCCGAGCAGGCGCTCAACTTCTCTTGTAGAAGCCGCACGCTCTTTTTCAATTTGGTGGGGTCTGCTTCTCACCCGATTCTGCCGGGACCCCGACGCCTCCCTCGGCCCCTCGCGCCGCTCGTTCTCCCTCGCTCCCCTCCCATGCTTCCCTCCCTCCCTCCCTGCTCCGTTTCGCGCTTACGCTTCCCCCCCTCCGCCCTCCTCGCCCCTGCGGGGTCCCACGCAGACCAGGATGCCCCTTTGAGAGCCTGTGCTATTCGAGAGACGGCGCGTGCTCTGCCGCGGGCACCTTTTCCTTTGTTTGCAGGCTGCTTGTCGATTTGCGAGTCCCCGGTGAACTCGCAGGCTCCAGGCACAACAGTGCGTAGCGCTAGGCTTTTGTTGTTGTTGTTGCTGTTGTTGTTGTTGCTGTTGTTGTTGTTGTTGGTGGTGGTGTTGTTGCTGTTGATGCTGCTGCTGCTGTTGTTGTTGTTGCTGTTGTTGTTGTTGCTGTTGTTGTAATTGCTGTTGCTGATCGACGTAGTGCCCACGGGGCCCGCGGCAGCTCGGGCCCGTTTGAAGGGCCGCCTGCCCGTGCGTCTTCAGCCACGCGCCGAGGGGGGAGGAGGAGGAGGAGGAGGAGGGGGAGGAGGAGGAGGAGGAGGAGGAGGAGGGAGAGGAGGAGGAGGAGGAGGAGGAGGAGGGGCTTCTTAGAAGCGCCCCTGGTTCCTAGAAGGCGCAGGCCCTATCTAATAGATGTAAGGCCGACGCCTTCTAAGAAGCAGTCGCCTTCTGAGAAGCCCTCCTCCCTCCCTCAGCCCCCTTGTGCGCGCCGCCAACGTTTGCCTTCTCGCTTCCACAGCACGCGGCGACCGCTGGCGTTCCGCCATCGACGAACGAAGTACAAAGGGTTGATGCGAGTACCACGGAAGGCGACCAGGATTCACAGATGGCCAAGGCATCCAACGAGCAAGTGGCATAATAGTTTGCCCCAGCCCCTACAGGCGCGGATAAAGTTGAGAGTCTGCTTATTGTTCTTGGCTTAAACAATAGCAGTGAAGAAATAAGCCTGCCGAAGGTGCAGAGCTCTTTGAACGAGACAGCAACAAACTCATGTGGGAGCCCGCCCCAGACGCCGATCACAGCATGAGTTGCTCCAGACCTGCGGATACACTGCAAATGTTGAGTTTGTCTTCGAGCGATCCCCACCTGAGAAAGCGAGTAGGCATCCCCGGGGAGCCTTGGCACCCTGAGGGTCTGGCGTCCGCGGCCTGCAGTCTTCACTCGTCGAGGACACGAGGCGGGAGCGCGATCTCCAGGGAGCGCCAGCACAGCTCCGGCCTGGCGGCCGCGGCACGCAGGGCGTGCGAGGCTCACCGCCCACCCAGCCACCCCAATCCAGCCCGAAGGCCTCAGTTTGCCCTCCAGCTCCGGTGGTGAGGGGGGTCGGGGAACATCGAACAACACACATGGAGCCCACAGTTACCCCCCCCAAACCCGACGTTTGGGCCTTCGGGTTGGGTTAGGGTGGTCTGGTAGGTAGTCAGAGGAGCGTCAGGAGTTCTTGCTTGTCCGGCGGGGGATAGTATGCCCCCTGCGACCTCGAGCCAAGCTCGGTTCAGGGTCGAGGTCCTGGCTGGACGCGAGCCGCGCCCACCGCCGCGTCTGGGGTAGGATTGATGGGCCTGTTTTCCACCACCACCATAGGTTAGAAGGAAGGAGGTGGAGGAGGAGGAGAGGGCGGCTCGCGCGCACCCGCGGGCGCGCGTAATTAAGGGCGCGGGCGCGGGAATCGTGCGCTGCCCCCGCTCTGAGGCATGGCCTTTTCTGCAATCTCGGCTAGATTCCGTCCCTTTTGATGCTAGACCTCGCTTGTCCCCTGTCCCCAGAGCCGGAGCCCGCGCCGCGTCGCTCCGAGCAGCGGTGCCGCGGTCTCTTCGTGACCCTGCGGTCCTCTCTGCCTCCTCGTCCTCTCCCTCTTTCAGTTCTCGGCGCTCATCTTATCCTCGTCCTTTTCATTCTTTCGTGCATTTCAGCTTTGGCTTCGGCCAGCTCCTCCGAGCCGTTATCCGCTCACACTGGTGCCTCCCTGCCTCCTTCTCTCCACTGGGCCGATTGTAGCAATCCCAAAAGTTTCGGCCGAAAAGTTTGGCCGTTCAGAAACAGGGGGCTTTGCTGGGTCACACCCCAAGAGGGCTATTCGGATGCACTCCGATCGAGAGGATGGGTGCCCCCAATCGTAGATCCCTGGGCTGGGCTCAAAATTGTTGATCGATTCCACATCCCCACTGGGATAGGGGTGGACATGTCCACTGTGAAGTTGAGGCAACAGCGTGACTCCCTCCTGGCCCACGTCCTCTCGAGATGGGCCCTCGGACCCCTCCCGGGGTCCCCCCTGACCCCCTTTGTCCGGGGGGAGCCAGCCGTGGCGACGAGAAGCCCCCAGGAGGCCCGGCGAGGACGAACAAGTTCAGGGATGGTCGCCGATGTCTCGACGGGCCCTCCTCCCTCTTCCTCTGTCGATCGGGTGGGCGGGTTGTTCCGCCCAAGACTGTCTCGGGACTTATGATCTTGCGACTTCCAAGCATTTGCCGGTATGGTGGGCGCTTGCTTGGTTCAGGGAATTCTCGCCTCAGCGCCGCGCACATTCGCCTCAAGAATTTGAGCCGTTACAGAGACGGAGGGCGGGTGGTTTTCAAAATTGAGTTCTCGCTCCAGCGCCGCGCGCATTTGTCATTTACGATGATGGAGTGCGGGTCAGTTTCAAATCCTTGTCTTTGCCACAACCGCCGCGCCCATTCGTGTCCACAGTTTGAACCAGATACAGGGGCCGAGGATGGTTCCTTATCAAAATGTGTCCTGCGCTCGAGACCTCCTTCACGTAAGTCTATGCAACTTGGGCATGTTTAGCAGCTGCACGTTTGGAAGTCCAGTTGTCATGTTTCTATGGTTGGGGAGTCCCTCGAGAATTTCATGAGGATGTGTGCAATAGGTGCAGTGATGGTGAGTTGTCGTGCTGTTTTGAAAAGGGGATCTCGCCGAACCACACGTCGAACTGCGTGATCATACCCTGTCGCATTCCTCATTGCTCGCCAGAGGGATGCACGATAGCCCCCTGTCAAGACGCTGCCCCCCGCCTGAACAGCAGGCCGATGCGGCGCTGCACTCTCAGGGAGGGGACGCCTCTGGAAGCGAACCACAAGCGGTGCAGAGGCTTACGAGGAGGCGACCTGGGACGGGAGGGTCTGGTAGCAGCATCGCTTCTGCATGTTGGGCTCATTCTGGCCCTCATCCGCCTCCTCTCAAGGGAGGAGGAACGCGGACCCGATAACTGGCGTTTGCGGAACGGCCCTGGGCGTTTACTATACAGCCCTGCCCTGTTCGATTCCTTCTGCGGGTGCGTTCTCTAAACGGCTCCGCGTGTCGGGATGATTATTATGGGGGATGGATGTTCTGCTCTCTATCCTCCTCCGCTGTTGCTATGCGCGCCTCCTCCCACCTTTTCCCGGGAGCGAGTTGGTTCGCTGGATCCCCCTCCCCACCCGAGGCCCCTGCCTCCTCTGCCTTCACGGGAGCTGCCGGGCCCGGACGGTGCAGGTTGGGGTCAGCTTGCTTCTTCCCCTTCTCCTGACCCTTTTCTCTCGCCTTGGGTTTCTGTCCCAGCCACCCTGTGGTGTCGGGTCCTCGCTTTGGAAGAGACGGCGCCCCCTCGTCACCCCCGCACCCGCTCCTCCTCCTCCCTCCTCCATCGTTCGCAGCCCTCGCGCGCTTCGTGGCCCCACAGGGAGCTCCACCGAAGGCCCCCGGTGGGAGAAGTCGCATGGCACCACCGCTCCACTCCTGCGCACCACTCGCACGGCTCGTGTCCCCACAGGGAGCCCCACCGCGGGCCCCAGGGGGGAAGTTTGCATGCAGTTCCACCCCTGATTCAGCGCACCTCTCACGAGGTCTGTGGCCCCCTGAGGAGTTCCGAAGGCCCCAGTGGGAAAGCTCGCATGCAGCACCTCCCACAAGGTCTCGTGGCCCCATAATTAGGGAGTTCCGAAGGCCCCAGTGGGAAAGCTCGCATGCATTTCCACCCACCATGTCGGCACACCCCTCACACGACTGTGGTTTCGCTGCGTTCCCTGTTCAAATACATTGTAACGAACCTCTGCAGACTCGGGCCAAGACCCGCCCATTAGCCCAGTTCAGCCTCTTCCTCGACGACATTGCGCTGCATATGATTCACAAGACTAAGGCGGCGCACCTAGTGAAGCTCGTAGCAGACTTGTGTTTCTAGCTGCTCGCTGCCATAGAGCGCGACCTCCAGGGGCGGGTTGCCGACGAGAAATTGGCTGCGCTGCCCCTCCCTCCCCTCGGGGCACCCAGGAGCAACTAGAGAGCGAGGCCCCTTCCCCCTTCTGTGTTGACGGAGCCCCCTGTAGCGAAACACCGTTCAGTGAAAACGACCTGGGACCATACCCGGAGTGCGCAGGCACGCGCAAATCATAGCCGCAGCACCTTCTCGAGAACCGCAAAAGTCAAATTCGCTAATCGACTAGGCCGGAAGGGGTTCCATCAACGCATAGCTCCGACATCGTGGCTAAAAGACTAGAGTGCCCCCCCCCGAGATATGGGCCCCAGGAGCCCATCAGTATCAAACATTGTCCGTCGTGAGTTCTGTGCATGTCGTCGCGATGATGTTTTGCAACCGAGCCTGTTGACCTCCGACCCCCCTGCGCCTCGCCCCGAGGACCCAGAGGAGGACGCCGAGTTCAAGAGGACATTGAGACAGGTGCTGGATTTTGTGACGCCGCAGCTCGGCAACGCGGAGCGGCGGCACTACGAGGAGGCCGCCGGGGTTCCTCACATGCCTGGGCTGCCCAGTGAGCTTCCGGGAGACACCGCACGGGTGCAGTCGAACATTGGTTGGCAGGTCGACCCTCCCGGGCTCAAGAGTGCCCTCGTGCCCCGTGCTCCGCGTCCCACGCCCCCCGCGGTCCTGGGGCGGCGTGGCCCTCGGAAAGGGGGCCCCGTGTCCTCTCTCGCGTGTCCTCTTCGGTCAAGCGCGACTGCATAGATCTTCGGAGCTCCGAGCGGAGTTGTGGGATCGGCGCTGGGTGCGCCGCTGCCGGGGACAAAATCGATATGGAGGCTTCTCACATGTTCTGGCCTCTCGGGGCCCTCGCCGGGCCTCGGGACCCTTCAAACACAACTCGGGATAAACAACCGGTCCCGGGAAAGTGGTCGGGAGGTCGGGGGCCCGTGTCTCGAAAAGATCGAGACGTCGGATGTCTGGGGAGGGGGGTCCAGCGCCGATCCCAGAGATCCGAGCGGAGCACAGAAGCAGTCCTCTCTTCATCTGCTGCAGTCCTGGCCTGCCCAACGAGTTGCGGCCTTTTCTTGTGTCCCCCGCGGGTTCGTCGCGGATTCGACCCGTTCGATACGGATCCGACGCGGATTTGGCACGGACAGCTGGCACGATGGGACCAATGAGATCCGCCGGAGGTGCGAGCGAAGCGTCTTACGTCAGCACGTTGATGACAGTGTCTGTCTTCGCCCACGGGCCGACACCGAGCTTATGCGCCATGCGCATGCGTGAGCAGGCTTTCCTTCCAGCTCAGGACCCTCCTGCATGCCTGCGCACGGCTGCATGGCATCTCCGGTGCCCACGCCGAGGAGGCATCGCAGCCAGTCCGGTATCCACGGCCTCGGGTGCGGGCGTCGGTCGTCGGGCCGCCGCCCCGCCAGCTCAGAGCGCCGCGCGCCCTCCGCAGGCCAAGATCCGCGCGCTCGGCGGCACGCTGGAGAAGCGGCAGAAGATGCCGTACAAGACGCTGCAGGTGGTGCAGAAGAAGCAGGATCAGTGAAGGACAACATAACTCGACACCCGTACTCGGCGTTCACGAAGCGGCCCCTGGCGCTTCCTGAGCAGCCCTGCCCTGTTCGGTTTCTCCCCGGGTGCGTTGACTAAACGGCTTGGGATGTTTATCATGAGGGCATCGTTTCCGATCTCTGCAGGAAGCAAAGCGGCAGGCCGCCCTGGAGGAGGAGAAGATCTTGGGCGTGTCCACCTCGGCATCCGCGCATCGCAGCGTGTACGCCGAAGACAAGGCGCAGCGGAAGAGAAAGGAGATGGCGAAGGAGAAGAGACGCCGCCAGCAGGACGGAGCCCATTCCGATCCGATCGACCCGCTGCGATGTCGATGCTGGCCGGTCCGATCCGATGAGATGTCGATGCTGGCCGGTCCGATCCGATCCGACTCCGATGTCCGGACGATCCGATGTGGCCCGATATATTTTGCACGGCGTTGTCACGCGTTCTGGCGCGGCCGAGCCGATGCGATGCCGACTCCGTGCCGAGTGCCTGCCCGCTCCGATGCACATTGCCATGCGATCCGATTTCGCGAGTCGATTGGCGGGCCGACCTTCCACCACCACTACCAGAGGTAGGAGAGAGAAGCGGAGGAAATAGCATGACATGCCCAAAGGGGGAGTACCAGAAAAACAAAGGGGGAAGACGGACACTCAGGAGTGGGCCGAATGACCTACTCAAGAGCCCGCCTGACCCCCACGAGCACGAGCAGCAGCTCCCTGCTCCCTCAACCGAACTCGTTAGACGAGCGCAGCCATTCGCTGCTCATGGGAGGGGGCCGAGTCCGAGGCCGAATACCGAGTCCGAACAGTGGACGGGGCACTGGAGGTCCTGGGGGTCTCGTCGGAAGCAGCAAGCGACACTAATGTTAAGTCGGGCCTGTCCCGCTGCAGGGGGGGTATTCAGAAGTAGTCAAAAAATAGTCTGGGGACTATTTGTTTGAGTATGCTTGGCAATCTTTGTTGTGTATTTTTGTTATATTTTAATTTTTCGTCCATCATCCCCCTGTAGGGGGACAGACCCGACCTAATACTAATGGCACAGTTTTGTCGAGCAACGCCTGCACGCGACGATCGGGGCATTCGCCTTGCCTGCACCTCCACAAGGACCTCTAACCCCTTTCTTGTCGGCGGCTCGCCACTTCGGGCGAGCTTTCTGGCTCATCCGAGGGACCACCCTCCACAGTTCAAACAACATGCTGCTCGCGGGCCGCGGGCCTGTCGGAGTCGGGCCGAGACGGCCCCGCAGCTTCACGAGCCGGCGTCCCAGCCCAGGCGACGATGGTGTGACCCATGGCAGCTGTTGCAGCACAGAGGGCAGGCTAGGGCATCCGTCCAACGGGAGCTTGCCTGAGTCGCCCTCGGCAAGGGCCAGACAGAACCGACACTGTGTAGTCCAAGCTCTCCGGGCTGCCAGTCGTGCTAGGTCGCTGGCCCGCGCGCACGTCCGGAGGCAACTTTGTGGGCCCGAGTCCAACGCACATCGTCTTGAAACTGGGGCAGGACCTGCGCGGCAACCTTGGTAAACCACGTGGCCCTTTGGGCCGCCAGATCAACGTCAAACAAAAACTCGGGTGTTGGGCTGGGGTGCTGGTCTAGGGCAACCTTGGCCTGCCTGTGCTTTGACATGCTGAACTGACTGGATGAAAGGAGCGCCCTCGAGCTGTAGGGCGAAACTGCTCATGCCTGCAACATTGCTGGACACCAGCAACTGGTGCGATACCTGTTGCTGACAGATGCGCACCGCAACAATCCGACACACGTACATCATCTCTCGTCGCCACCTTGGCCAAATAACGTGATAGTAACATGTTCCGCCATCGCTGAGGTCTGTGGGAATTGGCCACGCACAGCTCCTCTCATCATGACAACAGGGTCTTCACCTTCGCCTGGATACTCTGCGATGGCCCAGGACGCTCGGCGGAGTGGTCTGAACAGTGCTTGCTGCACGATCCATCTGATGCAAAGCGCAGCGGAGCAGCGGCAGTGAGGGCAGCAAGCTGCGCAGGCTGCATGTCGAGTGGGTTGTCATTGCCGTCAAGAACGTCGCCCTCCGACGACACGGGTGGCGTTGGCAACTCATTTTCCAGGTGCGTGAACATTCCGATCGTAAATATGGGCACGTCAGGATTGTCCCCGGCATCGTCCAGGAACTCAGGGGGCACCCCGGCATTCTGACGTGCCTCCACTTCTCCAGCTAACTGGCAAGTGTAGATCCTGTGATGGATGGTGCCCCTCTCCCCTCACTCACACAAGCAGTCGCACACGTAACCAGCACGCTTCGCACGATCGTTGGTCCACAATCCATTACATGCACAGCTCTTATTCCAGTATATCGGACACTTGGGGCACTTGCGGGCCCTGGGTCCGACACGGTCCTTGATTAGGTCAAGTGTGGCTCGGACGTCCGCGGGGAAGCCTAATTTCTTGGCGAGCTGAAGCTCTCTCTGCCTCTGAGCTTCTACTTCAAACATGTCAGCAATCAGTGCTGGATGGGTCAAGGCAACGACACTGTGTATGTTGTTATGGTCATGCCATCTCAGAGGCCCCTCTGCTCGCCAACCCGCGCGGCCAAGACAGAGCACGGCTCTAGCAAGGGTGCCTTTGGAGCGGCGCCAATCCGAACACTCTGACGGCCTCGAAAGCTCCCAAAGCCTCAGAAGTTCAGGCAAGCAGATGAGAGAGAGGTCAGGGCGAATCGCAGCATTCCAACACATCCGAGCCAACTGGATTGCCTGTTCCATGGCAAGCTTCGTGTTGCTGCCGCCGGTCAAAACGACTTTTGCAGACAAAGGGATTCCCCCGTGGGATGGGGAATCACACTTAGCAACGAGCATCTGATGCCTAAGCCATTCCGTAGGACTGAGCCCCAAGACTTCGACCCCAAATCTACTGGCGGGAGCGATCCCAAGACTGGACCTTCCGAAATGGGACTTCCTTGGGGCCCTTGAAACGCCTCCGCCTCCGAAAAGCTCTGGCTTTGCGATTTCTTTTAACATTACTGAAAAACGGGAACTTTGCTTCATTTGGACCTGCTTGGCACGCCTCTCACGCCCAGCTGATTCGTCAACTCCGAGATACGACTGCGACGTCTTGCACACAGCTCTGCAGAAACCGAGCTCATCGCACGCTGCATGGGCCAACGCATTGGGCGTGGCCAGGATCGCAACAGAGGGAGGAGGAGGAGGAGGAGGAGGAGGAGGAGGAGGAGGAGGAGGAGGAGGACATCCCCATCATCCCTTCTCCCCCTGTCCTGCCCATGGCAGCGGTGGTGCACGATCGGCCAGTCGTCGATGCTGCCTGGCCCCGCAGGACGGGATCATGAGGCTCGGCATGGGCGCCAAGGAGAAGGGCGGGCTGGCGGTTCTCCCGCGGAGCGCGGTCTACCGGGCGCAGCGCGCCGGCCGGCGGTGAGCGAAACAGGGCGCGCCTCGCCCGTCCATGGGATCGTTCTCTTGTCCATGGTTTTTTGCCGATCTGCGCCGGGCCCTCGCATCCCCCCTCTCCTCCCCCCACGTGGAGTAGATCCTGGGGAACGAACAGTGGCATAAACACAACAATTCGGAGGTCCGCGCGGATTTCTCGGATCGGCGCTGGACCCTCCTCCCTGGCGCGCGGAGCGCGCCAGGGGCGGCGCCGGAGGCGCCGCCGAGGGGGCCCCAACGTCGATCCGACAAGTCCGCGCGGACCTCCGAGCTTTTATGATTACGTCATTGTTCGTTCCCCTAAGGTCTTGGCTGGTGTGGGCGCCTGTGTCGAGTGGATGGAGTGGAGTCTCTCTCCCCACCGGACGCACTGTGGCAAGCATTGGCGCTGAGCAGAGGTCTGGAGCCAGGCCCCCCCCCTCTCCTCTTCCCCCCCCGATCCGCCCAGGGTCGAAACCCTGAATAGGGAAACGCTCACCTCCGGAGCGCTGAGCGGCACCGGGAGCACGTTTGGGGGCTAGCCCAGATGCGAAGAGGAAAGAAACACATAAACATAAATGTAATCCTCTACAGGGGGAATATCAACAAATATTCAAAACATAGTAGTGGTACGTTTTTAACATATATGTATACATATGTATAAACATCTGTTTGAATATTATTTGAATTTTTGTTGGACCTTTTTTTGAGGGCCCAGCTTCGGCCAGCTGGGGGACAGGCCCGACCTGAACATACACATAAACTTGTGGCGCTCCGTGCGGATTTCTTGGATCGGCGCTGGGCCCCCCTGGCGGCGCCTCAGGCATCGGCCCCTAGCGACCTCGCGTGCCGGGGAGGGGGGTATGGCGCGGATCCAAGAAATCCGCGCGGGCCTCCAACAGTTTATCTTTATGTGGCTTTTCAATTGCTCTACAGATTTCCACCTGAGGGCACTCCTTACCGACCTGGTTTGGGACCTCCAGGAAGCTCAGCATCGCCCAAGCGAGGATTCCCATCCCCACTGGGGCGTGGCATCTCGGCCCCCTGGGTGGGGACAGGTCCCACGAAACCTGGAGGGAGCAGCATGCAGGATCCGGGTCATGGTGGCGGATGACGGGAAGCGCCTCTGGCGTGGACAGTTTATTTATGAATTGAGTCTAATTTGTCTTTGCTACTGGCTCCGCGCCGCACTTGGAAATTCGCTGGCGGACTGCTGCCCACGACTCGCCCCGACAGCCAGAGAAGACCACAGAAGCCCACAGAAGCCCACAAGAGGACCCAAGAGATCCCCGCGTGGCGCCAGGAGCCCCCAGGGGTAGCCCGATAGGGTCACCAAGACCCTCTCCTGATTCAACATCCTTCTCCGGGCGCCTCTTCGTCATCGTCCTCCGCATTCCTACTCGTACTCGCTCCCGTGCTCTTGGTTCTCGTCCTGGTGCTTCTCTTCCTGCTCGTTATCCTCAGATTCCTCCTCGCTATCCTCACGTTCTCCACGGCGTCCTAGTCATCGCGTCCTCGTCGCCCTCACCTTCCTTTTCTTCTTCTTCTTCGCTCAATGAGCCCATTGGACTGAAGTGGCGCTTCCCGCTCTTGTCCGATCAGGTTTCTGACACATTGCCGTTTCGCTCGAGACGTCCTCAACAAATCGGCCCTGGAGGAGACTCCGAATCGACATCGTCTTAGTATCGCTCCCAGAGGGCTTTCGAACGACCCAAAGGAGACCACCCCCGGAGGGCCCCAAGAGCTGCCAAGAGCGCCCCAAGAGGATCCCAAAAGACCCCCAAGAGCGCTCCAGGAGGCACCCGGACAGCTCATAAGAACCCCAAGGCGGCCCAAGACGGGCCAAGAGGGCCCCAAGAGACTCGCCGGAGCGCCCTTGGAGGCCCCCCAACGGCCCAAGAAAGCGCCGAGACGGCCCAAGATGGCGCCGAGACGGCCCAAGAAAGCTCCCAAAGAACCTCACGACGCGCCCAGACAGCCCAAGGAGACCCCAAAAGCCTACAAGAGGACCCACAATGCCCCCAAGAATCCCCAACAGGCCCCAAGACATGCGACTCGCCCCGACAGCCCAAAAAGACCACAGACGCCCACAAGAGGACCCAAGAGATCCCCGCGCGGCGCCAGGAGCCCCCAGGGTAGCCCGATGGGGTCACCAGGACCCTCTCCTGATTCAGCAGCCTTCCCCAGTTGCCTCTTACTGTCCTCCGTCGTCATCGTCGTCATCGTCCTCCACATTTTTACTCGTACTCCCCCTTGTTCTCTTCGTTCTCGTCCTTGTGCTCCTCTTCCTGCTCGTTGTCCTCATGCTTCTCCTCGCTATCCTCACGATCTCCACGGCGTCCTCGTCATCGCGTCCTCGTCGCCCTCACCTTCCTTTTCTTCTTCTTCGCCCAATGAGCCCATTGGACTGAAGTGGCGCTCCGCTCTTGTCCGATCAGGTTTCTGACACATTGCCGTTTCGCTCGAGACGTCCTCAACAAATCGGCCCTGGAGGAGACTCCGATGGCCCGTTGGACTAAAGCGGCGCTTCCCGTGCTTGTCCGATGAGGTTTCAGGAGCTAGCGGGCAACATGCAACGCAACGTTCAAGTGCAACGCAAGAGTTCAACGCATTTTCTTGGCGGGGTCGCGGGGGGGGGGAGGGGAGGGGCCCCTGGACCATGGATTGTGCATTCCCACCTTGGGGGGTGCCCAGGTCGGTCAATGGGGCCCAGGCCGTGCCGGATGGGTGTCGGCTACAGGGTCCTCGGACTCTGCAGGCAGGATTCTTTGGGGCCTGGAGGTGTTCTGTTGAGGGCTCGTCGGGCCGTCTCGGGGGGGGGGGCGGCGCGCTGACGCCCTGGGATGGGCTGCATTCCTTTGGCATATATTGCACTTGGCCGTGTGCTGTGAGAGCGCAGAAGGGACCCTACTCGAGCCAGTCGATGCACGACGAGATGGGCAATACAGACATGCATGCATGCACACATTCGCACATACATGCGTACCGCAACTTGGCTTGCGAAGCGCATGCGGTGGCGATCGCGATGAGTGCTTGGCGTTGGCTGGTCCATCTCTGCGGCCGCGCCAACCCAGGCACGCGCGCGCACAGCGGCCAGCTGGTTTGGCGCGACCGACGCGGCTGCGGTGGCGCTGACCGCTTGGCGCATCCCAGCGGGCACTTCAGTGCGAGTTGGCGACTTGGGCGGGCGCCGTATCACGCCAACGTCGATAAGGGTAGACGCGATGATGATGATGATAGCGACGCGGCTGACGATGATTGCAGCGACAACGGCAATGCCAGTGACGGCGCCGATGCTGATCACGCTCACGTCGATGACGGCGTCCCCGCGTCGGCGATGGAGGTAGTGGAGGGAGTTCGGCACGCGCACGCGGCCGACGCCCGAGAGCGGCCCGCATGGCATTATTTGGCACGGATCGTACGCCCCCCTTTTTTTCAGCACGCGCGATAGGGCTTTCGAATGATTGCGACGTGCGGCGCGAGGGGCCCGCACGGCCGAATTGAATGAACACTTTGAACGACCCATCGACCCATGGTTTTTACATAAGGAACAAAAAAAGAGCTCGTAAGCGTGCGAGCGCAGGCACTTGTGAAAACGGACGTTGCACATTGATGTGTGTGTTCGGTATATTTCCGAGACGATCGATTTGGAAGGCCTTGTGGAACTGAAGGTTTTTGAAGGATTTCGGCATGCGCGCGCGACGACGATCACGCGTGCACTTCGCCCAGTCTGTTGCTAGGGATTGTCGAGGTTACGCGCGCGCATCGGGGTCGAAGCTACTCAGACATGAGAGCGCAAGAGGTTCGCGCGGCTGCATGCTATGAGAATGTGGATTGAAAAACACTCGCAAGAGCCAACGCCTGCGAAACCTAAGGTGTTTGATTGATTGCGGCATGCGCGTGCGATGGCGCGCGTGTGCGCCCTTCGTTTGTTTGTTTTTTTTTGTTTTGAAAAAAGGACGCTTGCGATCGCATGCGCGTAAGGGCGTGCGAATGATTTCGGCATGCGCCGCGAGAGGCCGGCGTGGCACGATTCCATGAGCATGTTGGCAAACTTCTGGTTTGTGTCAAGAATCCGCCAGAGCGCGAGCGCGTTTGGTTTGAAAATCCACGTTGCGAAACCGTTTTGTTGTTATTCATGTGTTTTTTATATTTATAAATATACACATTTGGTTTGAACTCCCAGGGGTACTTTGTTTTTGGGTGTAGTTGTACCGTTTATACGAGTAAATATATACACACACTTAAACCACACCAATCGGCATGCGCGCACAGCGACGCGCTCGTGTGCATTTCGTCATTTTTGTTGTAAAGGGTTTTTGATCACCTCTGGTTTCTGATACGTCAACGTGTGTGTGTGTGCGCGCATCCTTCTTCTGCAAAGGATGACGGGGGGTTCCGATACCGGCCTGCTTGGGATGGTACGAGCTTCTATTTGGGATGGGCGATGGGGCAGAATCAGATGTAATCAGCAAGTCGAAAAAAGGGGGGACGTATTCCCGGGTGTGGTATAATCTTAGCCCGTTTAAGCTCGGAGAATCTACGTGCAGCAACCTAGGGCGACGAAGAGGCCGCGACGGGGCGGCGACGGCGGCCACGTATCAGTAGCCGCTAGACCGACAGACAGGCCCAGACGACGGGCGGCGACGAGGCGGCGACGGGGCGGTGATGGGGCGGTGACGGTGGCCACATAGCCGCCAACGCGGCACACCGGCCCAGAGGACGGACGGCGACCAGGCGGCGATAAGGCGGCAACGGCGGCCACATAGTTGCCAGAGCGGCTCACCAAAACAGTTCGTTAGAAAACAATGTAAGAACCCCTGCAAGTGTTTGGGGAAACATGGTTCGCTCTACTGCCGTATTGCTCTTCAATGTTTCTACATGTGTGTTGCATTTTCGTTCGTATGTGTGGGTTGCGCTGTTTCTTAATGTGTTGTGTCGGTTCTTGTCTTATCTCGGCTGGACGAGCCTAACATGCATCCATCTTCTAGCTCACCAGATGTACTCTTGCTCTGCGAAGCGGAAGATAGTTAAGCCCACATAGGGCCCTTTCATGAGAGCCCTCCCATCGGGGGGCAAGGCGGGGGGGCGGAAAGAAGGGGAATGGAGGGCGGAAAGAGCGTTGGCGGCGGGTGGAGGAAGGAGAGAAGCGTGAGAGGGCGAGGAGGGGCAGTGGAAGGGAGGAGAAGGAGAGGAGAAGGAGGAGGAGAAGGAGGAGGAGGAGGAGGAAGAGGAAGAGAGAAACAGGAGGAGGAGGAGGAGGAGGAGGAGGAGGAGGAGGAGGGGGATGAGTAGGAGGACGAGGAGGAGAAGGAGGAGGAGGAGGAGGAGGAGGAGAGGGAGGAGGAGGATGAAAAAGATCAGGGGGAGGAGGAGGAGGAGGAGGAGGAGGAGGAGGAGGAGGAGGAGGAGGAGGAGGAACGAGGCCGCCTCCAGGCCCCCAGGCGATCGCGCGAACACAAGGAGGCTTGCCCCGGTGCTTCCCCGAGATGGCGCGCATGTGTAATTTGCTTGTTTGATTTGCATGCACCTTATATCTTTGGGACCGACTGCAAGAAACCGTACACCTACAACTCAATGCAGACACCGACGGAGCACATGAAGCCACGCGCGCGCCCCAGCCCTTCTGGCAGCGGCGCGCATTGTTGTGAATGTGTCTGCGTTGGTTTGTCTTTAATGGAGGATGACGATTAATAAATGACCGGGGGTCGTGTTCACGCGGCGGCGCCCGGGATGACGATTAGAAACAATTGGCCGCGGGCCGGACAACTATTTTTTTAATCGTTCTCCTCCAGTCAGAAACTTGTGCAGAAATAGCAGAAAGCTATGTTTTCATCGTTCTCTCCCATTTATTATTCATCGTCATCCCGCATTACATTTGCGCGCCCCTGTGTGGGGGCTGCAGGAGCTCCAGAGGTCCAGGGCCCAGGGCTCAGGGCCGGCCAGCGAGGGGGATTCGGACATGGTCCCAGGCGCCGTGTCACGGGGGGCTTAGGACCCAGCGGCGGCCTCCTGGCTCGCGAGCTCTTGCGTGGGCCCTCTTGCCTCTTCTCCTGCCTCCTCCTCTGCCTTCTTCCCCGCCTCCTCTCCCCACTACAGTTCCACATCATAAGTGATTGCTGCTGCTCCCTCTCCCCCGAACCTGCGCCACCAGCTGACGTGCGGGAGTCACGGGCGCACCGCCTTACCGCCTGTGCGCCTCCTGGGTTTCCGAGCCAATGTTAGGTTTCTCCGAACTCACGTGAATTTGTTTGGCATCTACATTTGTATGCATTTCCTTCGTAATCGATTTCGGGCATGGAGGAGGGGACGGAGGAGGAGGAAGAGGAGGCGACGGCTGTGCCTTTTCGGAGGACGACGGCCGTCAGCATAAGGATGATAATGCGGATAAGGATGATGAGAGAAGAAAAGAGAAGGAGGAAGAGGAGGAGGAGGAAAAGTGGGAGGATGAGGAGGAGGAGGAGGAGGAGGAGGAGGAGGAGGAGGAGGAGGAGGAGGAGGAGGAGGGAGAGGAGGAGGGAGGAGGAGGAGGGAGGAGGAGGAGGAGAGGAGGAGGAGGAGGAGGAGGAGGAGGAGGAGGAGGAGGGAGGAGGAGGAGGAAACGTGGGAGGACGCCGACGACGACGACGACGACGACGACGACGACGACGAGGATGAAGAGACAGAGAGGGCCTCTCGGGGCCCTCTCGGGGCCTTCCCTGGCGGCTTCCGCCTGGGGGCCGAGAGGCCGCGGGCGGCGGCGCCTGCGTCGGGGCCGGAGGGCGGGCGGGCGGCGACTTTGGCCGCGCGCCGGGGGGCGGCGGAAGCGCCCGCCCTCCCGGCCCGTCCCGCGAGGGCGCCGCCCCGCCGCGGGGCTCCTCGCGGCGCCCCCCGCCGCGGCGCCGCCGCCATGCCCCCCGTCCGGTGGAAGCCCCCGCTGCCCGTGCGCTTCAAGGCGCCGCGCCCGGGCCGTTCGCGGCCGGGGCCCGGCGCTCCGACGAGGGTCCAAAGGAAGGGCTGGGGGGGTTCGGAGTCGCGGAGCCGAGCCATGACCGAGAGCCAGGCCCAGTCAAGGGCAACCCCAGGGGGGGGACAGGTTGGGAGGGGGGTGGATGCATCGAGCCCCAGCAGCCCACTGACCGTCGACATGGGGCCCAGCAGCCCCACCCGCCCAGGAGCGCATCGAATGGGCCGTCGGAGGCCGATCCGCCGCTCTAGCGGCGACGTATCGCCGAGTCCGGCCCGATGCCCCCCCCCCTCGAGCCTGTTCTTCCCCCTTCCGATTTACCAGCCTGGAACATGTCCCTATCCCTATGCTGGGCACCTCCTCATCACGATGCCAATCTCAGGGATTCCCTCATTGTTTGAGGGCGGATCCCCAAGATTGTCATCGCCTTTTTTGGCGTGTCAATCTTAGGGATAGGCGCCTTTTGGGCGCGTCGTCCTCCGCAGGAGGGCCGGCCGAGGAACCTGCGGCCCTGCCTGGCGCCTCTCGCCCTCTGGTCGGGCCTCCGGGGGGCTGCTCGTCGCCACGGTCCCGCGTCGAAGGCAGGGTCGGGAGCGGCGCCTCTGGGAGGGGCCCGGGGGCCGATCTTGAGCGGATTCGGTCCGGCCCACGGGGCCGCCGTGGAGGAAGCACAGTCGGGGCCCCGAAGAAGGAGCCTTGCTCGTTGGGGAGGGGCTCCGCGTTCCTCGAGTGTTTCGTAGCTTGCCTCAGGTTTTCTTTATGCTTGCGATCGGGAATCGAAGACTAGCTCTTGGAAGCAAGGGGCCTCGTTCCTTATTTTGGGCTCCTTGGGTCAAGCCCCCGACTGTAGGAGGGGGAGGAGGGATGGAGGAAGGGAGAGGGAAGTATAGGAGGGGGGGCGGAGCAGGCAGAGGCAGGGGATGGGGTATGATGATTCTTCAAGCGGCCCACGCCATTCCGCCGGCCTTCACAAAGAGTGAGTGTTTGAGACGATCGTGGACGTTATGTTTTGGGTCAGTTGGTCAGGAGCCTCTTGGAAGAATCTGAAGGTCTCTCGGGATGCCTCTCTGGGGCCTCCTGGGGGACTCTTGGGGGCATCGGGCAGGCTTTTTGAGGCCTCGTAGGGGCCTCTGGGGCGCTTCTTGGGGGCGTCTTCGGAGGGGCCTCGGCCCTCTTGGGATTTCTTGCAGCCCTCTTGTGGCCCTCCGGGGGCTGTCTTGGGCCGTCTTGGGTGGCTTCTGGGGCTGTCTTTGGGCCTTCTTGCGCCGTCTTGGGGCCTTCTGCATCATGTGTCATTTTGTGACGATTTGGGGGCCACTTGGGCCGTCGTGTTCGCTGACAATACGTAAAATGCGAATGTGGTGAACATGTATGCATCTTGTTTCTAGGAATGAGATGATTTTGGCTTCTTGGGGCCCTCTCGGCGATCCTCTGGATGGGGCTTTTGGGTTGTCTTGGAGGCCTCGTGGGCCATCCTGGGGACCGTCGTGGGGCTGCTCCGTGCCGTCATGACGCTCTCTTCGGCTGTCGCGGCGCTCTGTCCAGGCCCTGTTGGGCTGTCTTCTGGCTTTTCGGGGCTCCAGACTCCAGAGGCCCAGGGGGTGCGTGGACGAGCTCGTGCCCCCCCCGCCCAGGTGAGGGGGGAAGGGGGGAGGAGGACGGCCAGATGTCTCACGCGCCTTTGCACCCCCGACAGGCGGGGGTGTGCGGACGTATGGGGAGGGAGGGGGGGACCAGGAGGAGGAGGAGGAGGAGGAGGAGGCGGAGGGAGGAGGAGGAGGAGGAGGAGGAGGAGGAGGAGGAGCAGGACCATCGTGAAGCCAAGCTGCATCAAAGATGCTGCAGCATGCCCGCTCGCCCCTCGGCCCCCCCGCACGGGTGCCCTCCCTTTCGAGCTGCGAGCGCTCCGTGGCCCCATGCGGTGCCGGCGGGCGCCCCTGCCGGCGGAGCGGAGCGGCCGTGAGTGTCTCCAGGTCGGAGGTCGGCCTCGAGGCGGGATCGCGAAGTCCAGGGGCGTGTCCAGCGAGATCCCCTCCTGGGATTTTGGTGGGGCTTGCTGGGCGTGTTTTCCACCACCACCACAAGTTGGAGGGGGGGGCCTCCTCCTCCTCCTCCTCCTCCTCCTCCTCCTCCTCCTCCTCTCCTCCTCCTCCTCCTCCTCCTCCCTCCTCCTCTCCCCCTCCTCCCTCCCCCCTCCCCCTCCTCCTCCTCCTCCTCCTCCTCCTCCTCCTCTCCCCCTCCTCCTCCTCCTCCTCCTTCTCCTCCTCCTCCTTCTCCTCCTCCTCCTCCTCCTCCTCCTCGTCCTCCTCCTCCCCTCCAGGGATTCGGTCGGGCATGTCCCTCTGCAGGAGGCACCGCCAAAAATGGTATTAAAAGAAAGAAAAGTCGCGGGACGATGTTTCGACTGCTTTTTATTATTAGTGAGTGTTCTTGTTGTTTTTACTATTTTCAATGTTTTCTCCGAAATCCGCCTGTGGGAGGACATGCCCGACCTCAATCTATGAACATGAAGTCCAGGGACGTGTCCAGCGAGATCCCCTCCATGAACATTCAGCCGCCCTCAGTCCGAATGTTTTCCGTGCGATCGAAGTTGAACGTCTGGCCATGTGCAACCGCAGTCAGGTCGTGTTTTTTTGTGCGACCGAAGCTGCACGTCTGGCCATCTGCCACCTGACGCAGTCTCGATCGAGAGCCCAGATTTGCAAAGGGGCGGCCCTCCATTCTCGCGCAGCTCTTGTACAGCCTTAGGTTCCCGATCGAGAGGTTTAAGGAGATTCGGAAGGGACGCTCTGTTCTGAGCAGCGGCCACCCTCCGTGCGTGCGGCGGCCGGTAGCTGTTTGCGCGAACGAGCGCGGGGGTAGGGCGATAGCCTTCTCCTGAGAACGGCCCGTGCTCCACCGCAGCGGAGTCG